CCAAATACAAATGTTGCTCCACAAACCACAATATCAGTCCACTAACATTACAGAAAACTGAAAGTATACTAACATGCCAAGTATTACTACAGGTATGTTAGGCACAAAGAATGCTCAGGCCTACAAACATAATGCAAGGTTCACACCAGCACAAGTATCAGAAAATATCCAACCAGGTCAGCAGAACAGTCACTCACACGCATATCAAATTAGATTTAAATCACAATTACCTTGAAAACTGAATGTTTCAGTATCTGTCAGTAGCAAGCATATAATATATATATTATTATAACTCTGGGAGACCTACTTACGAATTTATTTAGGAGCGCATAGAGTACTGTAGAGTCACTATCTAATCAGTGACGCCATTCAAAGTAGAGGAAAAGCATATAGACCCATCCCTGGGGTTCTGAATATTTTAGTAGAACATTCCAAAAACATTGCTAACCCTTTAACCCTTTATCTGATAACACATTTGTGGATCAGTCAACAACACTGGCCATTTCCATTGTTTAAGATAAATTCGGCACCACCAGGATAGTAATTCCGAAACTTCGAAAGGGGATGATTTGAAAAGAAGCTGCATCACATCCGATGCAGTCTAAACAACGAGAGTAGCTTTCGTGCCTTTAAAGGCCAAACGATTAAAAAAAAAGTCATCACTGTTTCTGATAAGTTATAAAGGGGCCTAACTGAGCCAACAGTGCAAGCGGTTGTTAATCTTGGCAGTTAAAGCATATGTCAGGTCAGCCCCCTGCTCAGTCACTACAAGTAATGATATGTCAATGCAGTTTAAAGAAAACGTATTTAACAAATTAACAGAAATGTCAAAACATTCGAGTATCATGAGGCATTGGATTTTGAGAAAGCAGTTACTCTCAACATACTAAATCTAGTGAGAATAAATAAACCAACAGAAGTAAAAGGAACGGTATAAAGCACATTTCCATCAAGCGGATGTGTAAATTTAAAACGGAAAAGCATTAATCCAAGGCAGCTTCCTTCTGTTCTAAAATTGACTTTTAAACATTGTCAATAAGCAGTGGTGCTTGTCCAATAGTCACATTTCAGAGCAGAGTAATACTACCCACATTTGCTGCTACAACTTTCTATCATCCATTGACTGAGTAATTAGGATGATCAGATTAGATCGCTGGTGACCAATGGAATTGTTACTCATGAAAAAGGACATAATCTGAAATTGTTGCAGCCTTACTCAGAGGGAATACACTGTTCCAGGAAAAAAAGAGAAGCTCCCTTCCTGTGCAATATCTTATTTTGTAATTTAAATTATCCATGAGGTTGCATTCCTCAGCTCTAGAAAAAGCATTTCTCTGTAGCACAACATGTTACTACACGACTTGGCTGCCCAAAGTTTTTCTGGGGACAGTTTTTCCAAAGTTTGCCATGAATCCCATTTCTTAGGATCAAAACCAACAGACACCAAATTGAGTACTCTGAATCAAGCTCGATCTGCAAACAATGCATTCAACAGACAGGCACGCATACGAAACATGAAATCAAAGGACAATCCACAAGTTTACTTTCAGCTGCTGTTTAGTTTACTTTCAGCTGCTGATTGACCTGTTCTGGATTTCCAGCATTTGCAATTGTTCTTGTTTAGTTCCACAAATATCTAAATCTTTGAATCCCAGTTACACTAAAAGTAATTTAGATTTTATTTCAATTATTATCATTCAAAATATTTATTAGCACTCCAACAACTGTAAATTACTGATTAATCTTTGTTATAATTTGATATTAAAACTGCCTCGTTTTGTATTTTTTAAAACAATGGAATGGATCATCTCTAAGCATTATAAATATTGCAAATATAGATGCTGCAAATTATTTTCGTAGCTCCTCGTTTTTCTTTGATACTCCATTAGTCTGGACAGTGTTGGGTGCATTTCTTTCACTCATACCCCCAAATTAGATTCTTTAAAATAAAGAAAACACAGTTTGTTTGCAAACAGGGCAAGGTCCGTTATCGTAAAACTTCTCTAATACAGAAAGCTAAGGAAATCACAACCAGGAGTGTAAGAATCCTTTATGTTCAACGCCTTGGGTCGTCCTCCCAACGTGAAAGGTGCTACATAAATGTAATTTCTTTTTGTTGTTCTGAAATTGCGATTCTTAGCACACAGGACAAGATTTGGACAAAATCAGATTACACTTTTTCCAGCAAAAAGCATCACTGAACTTAGGACCAAATTGACTTTACAACAAGGGGACAAAATATGAGGCATTGCTGGGAAAAGCACAACACCTAATTGCACGTAAATCTGCAGCGTAATACTAGGTTGTCACATTAGGCTCCTGGAATTAGTTTCTAGACATCATTTAAGGTGTCACCTCTTTTTCAACCTGTATATGATTCGCATTAATAATTGCGCCAAGGGTTACAGTAATTGGTGCAATTACTGTAGGTGACCTACAAATGCCAGAATTATAATGCTTAGAGATGCTCCACACCAAAAGGGCGTTGTTACAAACAAAAGCATTCAGTTATTTTCTTTGGTCAAAGTATAATTATATTATACAACGACCCAAGAAAAAGAAAAAGCAAATTAAATATGATGCTGAAATCTTTTGAGATACTTATTTACTCCAATGCCCTGGAATAATTTTGATGTAATTATACTTCAATCATTTTCTGTACATCCAGCTGAGCATGTGGGATCATTCAGGTTAGACCGCTGCCCTGTGTTTTGCTCAGTTTATCCTGGATGGGGCATAAAAGTGTTGTAGAGCCATTCCTCAAAGGATTAAATGGATTGTTTGTCCACAACACGTCAAAGTATACAGTGTATGCGCACAAATTGGTTGGCATGCTTGCCTACAAAATATGCAGCCACTGCACTTTACACCAAGTCCAGTAAAACACTTTGATGCATTCTCCTGATGTGAAAGTCCCTATATCAAATGCAAGGATCATTATTAATTTAGTGCTTGCAGCTTACTCAACTGGGCGGGGTACCGTGATGAACTTAAATCATGTTCTCATCTCTTGTCCGCTTATCGATGCTTTTCAGCAGTGGTTACTGGATGGTGATCAAAAACAGAAACTCCGGTTAATTTGCCTTTCCCTATCCAGCCACACTGAGGACAATTCGTAGCCACCAACTTCTGCCCAGGCAGAGATCAGATAACTCGGCTTCAAACAAAGTTATGTTCGACATGGGTCACTATGGCACCTTTATGTACTGGATCATCAAGAGAGCAATCAATATCAAAAACAATGGACAAAACACAAACACCTCTTTAACCCATCATCCCTTGTCCTCTACCCCATTTTCTCCTTTGTCTTCCTTGTTCTGTCTCCCCCATCTCTGTTAGTCCTTAAAAGCCTCTCCCTCCCAACATGCCCCAGTTCTGACGAAGGGCCGTGGACCCGAAACGTTGACTCACTTTCCTTTCTCCATAGATGCTGCCTTACCTGCTGAGTGTTCCCAGCGACTTCGGTTTTTGTTATCAAAAACAATGGATCAACCTAGTATTGACATATATTCCATGCCATTTCAAAACTTAATATAAAGTATAAAATTAGTACAGGAATACCAAACTCTTTCTTTCCTCCCTCTCCTCCAACCCTGTCATCTTCAGACAATACAACTTGGGCCCTGATCTTATCAGCCTGCCTCAGTTGGCAGCAATCTTGTCTCTGAGTCAGATCATTGTAGGTTTGAATTCAGTATCAGGAACTTTATACTCAATGTCTAGGCTGTCATTTCAGTACGGTGTTGAGGGAGGTGCCATCTTTCAGTTGGGAAGTTAAACCAAGGTCTTAGCTGGCTGTTAATGTGCATATTAAAGAACCTATGACACTATTCCAGAAGTGAAGGAAATTTCTCCTTTTGTGGAGACACTCTGAGTTGGAGTTTCAGAGAATGGAGCAGAACCACTGAAGACCATTGAGAGATTTGAATGCGAGGACAAGAAATTTGAATCGATCCCCTGGCAGAGTCACTGGAACCAAACAATGATAGCCATGATAGGCTTGTGGATCCTGGTGTGGCAGAGGACACAAACTGCAGATTTCTGATGTTTTGGTAAAACAGATTCGCCTCAACTTTCAGTAACAGTCTAATTTATATTAGCAAACTGGATTCTTTACTGCCGAATTGGGGAGTTTGACATTACAGATCTGGAAAGTTACAGATTTTGTTCTAGTTTAACCTGCAGGAGGGGCACAATTGGTTTCAGCAATTCTTGCTAGAAATAGAATATCAGGCAGTGTGGCATCTCCCGGAGGCTTTGGGGAGGGCATACTGGATGCTGACAAGACAGTGCTGTGTGGCACCGCAATGGTCAACATCCTGTAGTCCTGTAGCTCAGTGGTTAGAGCACTCGCTTTGCAAGTGAGAGACCTGAGTTCAATTCCAGGCAGAGGGCCAAACCTCGGGCAAGTTTCCTTACTCCACACAGAGCCTAATAATAATCCCTCCAAAACCAAAAACAATAATAAATTGGTCATTTTCAATCCATGACTATTTGTGGGACATTGCTGTGCGCCATTGGCTGCCGCGTTCGCCCACAAATATACAGTCAATTCACTTTACAGTGTGTTCTGTGAAGCGCTTTGGGACGTCCTCCCGACGTGAAAAGCGCTATATCAAATGCAAGGATTATTATTATCCTTACAACGTTCACACAGCGTGTGAGCTAACAACGCCAGCAGTGTCTGTAGAACTACTCCAACAACACCAAGGCGCTGGACAGCCAGGGATCCGCACCTGAGCTGGTGGTCGGGATCAGGAGGGAGGGCAGCGGTCGGAGGGGTTGACCAAAGGCACGGTTGAAGAGGAGGGTCTTGAGAAGGGTCTCCAGCGCAGACGGGCACCGCCCGGCGTGAAAGGCGCGACACGAAAGCAACCCGTGGATGTGGTCGAGGAGGTCAAAAGGGGGTGGGTGTGGGGGGGGAGGGGAGAAGGAGTGGGGAAGGAGCACCTGGAAGGCCACCACACCTGTCCCCACCGCAGAGACTGCCCACGACCTACCTCCAAGGCCAAGGCCGTCTTGTCGTAGGCATTGGGGACCCGCTTCTGGACCGCCCTGGCGAAGACGGGCCCGTTCTGCAGGTTGGGCAGCGGCGTGACGCTGGGCTGCGCGTAGGGGCCGGGCTCCTGCGGGCCGGCCTGGGGCGGGTGCGGCCCGGGGCCCGAGGCGTGTTCCTGGCCGGGGCCGGCGGCGGCGGCGGCGGCCGGGTGCTGGAGGGCGGCCGGGCTGACCGAGTTGGGCCGGCACTTCTCCACGTAGGGCACGGGGATCATGCCCCGCCGGCCGTCGCCGTTCTCCGCGTTCCACCACTGGTCCTCGGGCTTGTCCAGGATGCGCAGCACGTCCCCCTTCCTGAAGGGCAGGTCCTCCTCGTCGTTGCCGACGAAGTCGAAGAGGGCGCGGACGAAGGCGGCCTCCTCGGCCCGCGCCAGCGAGCCGCCGGCCCGGGAGGCCACCGGCTCGATCAGGGTGGTGGTGTCCAGGTAGTGGATCTTGTAGAACTCCAGCAGGCCGGCCAGGTGCTCGAACTCCTGGTCGCCGATCCGGAAGCGGCCCGGCTGCCGGCTGTTGATGATGTAGTGCGACACCTTGGAGTTCTCGCTCACGCTCAGCACGTAGTCCCCCGGCATGGTGGTGCTGTCCCGCACCAGGAAGGTCCCGTGCCGCTGGCCCTGCAGCAGGCTCACCGCCTCGTCCCGCCTCAGCCGGCCCAGGTACCAACTGCTCCGGTCCTCGGCGTCGAAATTGGCGGCCATTGTCCCTGCTTCCCCCCCCACCTGACCGCCGCCGCCGCCAGCAGCAGTCTCCCCCCACCCGCCCGCCCCGACTCTGCTCTGCTCTTTTGGCGGTCTCCCTTCTCACCGCTTAGGCCTCAGGCCTCCGTGATGAGGCCCTCCCGCGTTTACCTCACAAGTCGCCCCCTCCTCCCTCCCTCCCCAGAGCGAAGCCAATCGATTTATATCGATGTCTCTCTCTCTCTCTCTTCCCCCTCCCGACACCCTCCTTCCCTCCCTCCCTCCTTCCCTCCCGCCCACACACACACACACACACGCTTCTCTCTGTCGGCCCAGAAACTTCACCCACACCGACCGGCTCTGGGGGCAGACCGTCCCCCTCCCCCCCCACACCCACCCACACCCCCCGAAAACGAATGAAATAAATTACAAATAAATATATCTTTTTTTTAAAAAAAAACGGCCGCGATATCTCTCCCTCCGGGAGGGAAGGCGGTGGGGGCGGGGTGGAGGGGGGGGAGGGGGGAAGGTCAGGCAAAGCCGCTGTAATTCTCGCTCCACAAACTCCAAATAAAATGGCGGCGGTTGGGCAGCGGACGGCAAATTAAAAACTTTCGGCCTTGGCCCTCACCCGCCGGAAGTGCGCCACCCGGAGCATGCGCCCGGGCCGCCGCCGCCAGCTCGGCCGCCATCTTGGTGAGGTCCGTGACGCGCGCGCGCACCGCTGGGACGTCGTTTCCATGGAGCTGCTACGTCGCAGATGTAAACTTCCGTAAAGGTGTGCACATGTGTTTGACACAACCTCTTGCTGCTTCCCACCACCCCCCCACTATCACCCCCCAAGCACCCCACCCCCCCCAACACCACCCCCACCACCCCCCCACTACCACCCCCCCACTACCACCCCCCAAGCACCCCACCCCCCCAACACCACCACCCCACCCCCACCACCACCCCACTACCACCCACCAAGCACCCCCCCCCCCCACCAACACCCCCACCCCCCCACTACCACCCCCCAAGCACCACACCCCCACCACACCACCACCCCACCCCACCCCCACCACCCCCCGGAGCAGAGAAGGTTAAGAAGAGATCTTGTAGAGAAGGTTAAGAAGAGATCTTGTAGAGGTGTTCAAAATTATGAGGGCATTTGAGAGGGTGAACAGGAAGAAGCTGTTTCCGCTATCGGGTGGGTCGGTAACCCGAGGACACCGATTTAAGATAGTTGACAAAAGACACAGAGGAGAGATGAGGAGCCTTTTTTTTCATATTGTTCGGATCTGGAATGAATGAAGAGAGAAGTGGGTAGATATTTGAGGAGGACAAATTTGCAAGGCTGTGGGGAGAGAGTGGGATTAATTTGGATAGCTCTTTCAAAGAGCCGGCACGGGCACGATGGGCCGAATGGCCTCCTTCTGTGCTGTATAATTCTATGATTCTATTACCCCCCGGAAAAGCGATCCATCGATCGACGAACAACCGTGGAGCAAGGCAACCTGCCTCACATTTCGCGCCTTTCATGTCAGGTGGACGTCTCAAACTGGCGGGGCACATGGAGCAGGTCGGTGGTGCTGAAGGGAGGGAGTGATCTGGGCAGCAGGAGGCGGCGGAGCTCGGGTGGAGCGAGGCCTTACAGGGAATTGAAAGTGAGGATTTGGATCTTGAATCTGGACCACCATCGCCGAGAGGAAGTCCGGCTTCTCCCGGCCGATTCATCATCTTGGATTTGATGAAGGGGCGAATGAAGGTCCCAGCGATCTGGGAGGGGAGAGGCAGTGGCAGAAGCTAACGATATGGGAAGCAAATTTGCATCAGGAAAAATCGCCCCGAAATCAACGGGGATTGTTACCAAAATAACTTCTTTATACACCAGTGGGCGGCGCTGTGGTACAATCTACACATTTCAGGAGAGAAAAAAAATCTGTGCCTTTTGCAAAGTATAGTATTCTCTGATTGAATCGAAATCGGTTGATTTTTTTTTTGGGGGGTGGGGGGGAAATAATTTGTGAGCTGATTTTTCAATGACCACGACGCTGCGGTGGAAGAGGCAGGGTAATAGTCCCTTCCAAAAACTTTTTTAAAGAAATTGACACTAACCATAAGAGTTTGGTCACTTAATTCGTGACGGTTTGAGGGACGCCGCTGTGCGCAATTGGCTGCCGCGTTTCGCCCCCCCAAAAATATACAGTCAATTCGCTTGATAGCATATTCTGTGAAGCGCCTTGAGACGTCTTAATGATGTGATAAGGCGCTATATCAAGGATTATATCAAGAATTATTACTATTATATGCTACAAACAGCCATGAAGTAAATGGCCAATTGCTTATTTGGCAGATTGTCGGCCAGGACTCTGGGAGAAACTCCCTCTTTTCGAATAGTGTCAATGGGATCTTTCACGTCCACCTGAACAGGTGCACGGGACCTGGGTTTAATATCTCCTCCGCAAGATGGAACCTCTGACATTACAGAGTCAGCCTAGACTCAAAGTGAGCTCAAAGTCCCAACATGGGGACGTGAACCCACACCTGTGTGACTTAGAAGCGAGAGTGCTCCCGACTGAGCCAGGCTGACATTCCATCAGGGGTCACAGGAAACCGTAAACCACCGAGCTCCCCGAGTCAGAGTGGGCCCCCAATGTTGAATGTGAGACTAGAACAGGGCTTTTTTTTTGGTTGAATAATGCGGGGAGAAATGTCAATGCAGACAAGAAAACCTGAGAGTGGGAGGATTTCAAGTGCAAGTCTGGAACCAGGAGCACGAAACGCATCAATTATTTAACGATTCCTATGATCTAACAGAGGGTTTTTCAAAATAATGAATTCATTTGATAGGCCAATGGGAGAGAAACTATTTCTACTGATCGGCAAGTCAGTAACAAGAGGACATGAAATGAAATTTATCATCAGAAGAAAAAAGGAGGCGGAGAGCCTTGAAGAAATTATTTTACACAGAGGGTTGTTATAATGTGGGGAATTGTTGGACGGTCTTATCACGAATAGCAGCCGAAGCCTAGTCTGTAACAGGATTGGAAAGGCAACTGGATTAATTCAGGAGGAAAAATATCATTAAGGGTTATGGGGAGAGAGCACGGGAAAGGGATTTAGGGGAAAGGGATTTAGGGGAAAGGGATTTAGGGGAAAGCTCCAGTGGGGAAGTGAGGACCAGTACAGACATGATGGGTAAAGAGTGGGGTCAAGGGGATTAGAGTTGAGAGCTCCAGTTGGAGAGCGAGCATGAGTATGGACACTAAGCCCAAATGACCTCCTTCTATATTGTAAACTTGCTATTAATTGAACAAGAGAGATCAGCTATGATGTGTGTCCCCATCTCTGCTGAAGACGGGATACAGTTGCTCAGGAACTGGGACTTCTGTCAGGCGTCCTGCCTTCACCTAACCTCTACTCTCGCACCTTTCTCACCATGAGCACCCAATATTGGGAGTCACACCTGAAACCCTGTTAGCCGTGGGTGGGGGTGCGGGGGGGGGGTTGTTGTGGGGGGGGGTGGGGAGTGGAGTGATGTGGGCACATCATTTGAGGCACGGCACCTCTGACCGTGCGGCGCTCCCCCCAGCGATGTGCGGGGATGTCAGAGCCGAAGCTGTGAGCTCAAAGTCCGCGACGTAGGGCTTGAACACACTCCAACCTGCTGACTCTGAGTTGGGAGCGTGACGGATTGAGTCAGATTGTGTTGAGGAAGCTGCCTGACCCCTCTCCACACCCCCCTCCCCCCCCCACCCCCACCGCCCCGGGTGGAGGGGGTGGGTCATGTACAGTGCAAAGCTGAACAACAGCCATTGCTATCCCCATCCACAAAGTTCCCTCCTGTAAATTACACCTTCACCTCCCTCTCGGACAGCTCTCTCTGGGGTTCGGGCTTGAATCATCTCCTTTATATCAAAAAAATGCTGCTTTTCTGCTCTGTACCCTTCGCAGAAGCGAATGGCGGGGAAACGAACCACTAATAATAGTACTATTATTAATGATTTATGACAAATTGCCTTTATACAGCGCATCGCACATCGGAAGACGTCCCAAGGCGCTGGACAGTGAAGGGTTTGCACCCGAGCTGGGGGTCGGAATCAAGAGGGTTGCTCTGCAATTACTGTGCGGTAGGAACAATTCCATTCGTATAGCGCCTTGCACTTCGGGAGGATGTTCCCGAGGCGCCGGAATCATAATAATACCAATTATTATCACAACAATAAATGATACCAATTATTATCACTATAATGATAATAATAATAATAATAATAATGCCAATTCCTCGCCCCCTTATTTTTTCGCCCCAGAAAAACACACACAGTCACTGCACTACAGTTCGCAGTATATCCCCTCCAGGGAGGGAGAGGCAGAGAGTGAGTGAGAGAGTGAGTGAGTGAGAGAGTGCGCATTCCGTCCCAGTGGCCTTGAGCTGTGTGTGTGTTTTTTCTCTCTGGCCAAATTAAAGGGGTGGCGGGTGGAGCGCCGAGCGGCACCTCGCCTTTAAGGTGCGGGAGGAATTTCCCCTCTAAAGAGAAACAAGGCGACAAGAGACAGATACACAGACACAGGACCGGGGAGACCCCCCCACACCCCCACACACCAACACACACACACACCAACACACACACCCCCATACACAGCCCCACACACAGCCCCACACACACAGCCCCACACACCCCACACCCCCACACACACACCAACACACACACAGCCCCACACACACACAGCCCCCCCCACACACACCCCCACACACAGCCCCACACCCCCACACACCAACACACACACAGCCCCATACACAGCCCCCACACACACAGCCCCACACACCTCACACCCCCACACACACCAACACACACAGCCCCACACACACACCCCACACACACCCCCATACACACAGCCCCACACCCCCCCACACCCCCACACACACACACACAGCCCCATACACCCACACACCAACACACACAGCCCCATACACACCCCCATACACAGCCCCACATCAACACACACAGCCCCCACACCCCACACACCCCCCCCCCCCCGGCTCAGGGGGAGAGAAACAGGAAAAGAAGAGCAACAACAAAAGAGAGAAGAAGATAAAAGTGGCGTTAAAGAAAGGAAAAGGGGGAGAAGGAGACTGTGGAGGTGAGAGGGGAGTGTGATCCCCGGGACACAGGGAGACGCGAGTCGCCGTCTGAGCCCCCACCCCCCACCCCACACATCACCCCCACACCCCACATCACCCCCACCCCACACATCACCCCCACACCCCACATCACCCCCACCCCACACATCACCCCCACCCACATCACCCCCACACCACCCCCCCCCACCCCACCCCACATCACCCCCACACCCCACATCACCCCCCCCACCCACATCACCCCCACCCCCACCCCCACATCACCCCCACCCCACCCCCACCCCACATCACCCCCCCCACCCACATCACCCCCACCCCCACCCCACATCACCCCCCACCCACATCACCCCCCCCCACCCACATCACCCCCCACACCACCCCCCCCCCCACCCACCCACTGGGGTCCCTCATCCATTCGTAATCCAAACTCACTGACACCACACACACACACACAGTGACAGACAGTCATACAGAGAGACAGAGATACGCGTAAACACAGGGAGAGAGAGAGAGAGAGATACACAGAGACTGACACACACACATAGTGACGGACAGACGGACACACACACACACACACACACACACAGACGGAAATACACACAGACAGAAATACACACAAGACAGACAGAGATACACAGAGACTGACACACACACACACACACAGTGACAGACAGACTCACAGACAAGAGAGACAGACAGTGAGACAGAACTACACACAGACAGACAGAGAGATGCCAGAGACTGACACACTCACACTCACACACACAGTGACAGACAGACGCGCACACAGGCAACACACACAGACAGACAAGACACAGAGATACACACAGAGAGACATACAGACAGTGAGAGATACACACACAGAGACACACAGGTACATGTAGCCGGAGACACAGAGAGAGAAACACACACACACACACACACATAGACACCACAGAGATAAACACACAGAGTGAGAGACAACATCTTGCATTTATATAGCGCCCCTCTCGCCGGGTGGTTGCTCGCCGCTTGCTTGAACACACGGAGTCAGACATACAGGCACACCCACACCCACAATAACCGTAGCTGATGGACGATTGCAAACTGTAAACAAGAGGCCAAACGGGGATTGGGGGCTTTGCTTCCCGTCGCTCCTGACGCCTGAATCCCGAGGTGACTGTAACCGGGGACCGGGGGCTGGGGTGTGTGTCTGGGCCGTGGCAGAGTGAGTACCCCTCGCCCGTTGCCCGCAGGTGAAGCTGCCAGCTCTGGGCGACCCCTGCAGGAGCAGCGAGCAGGCAAGGAGAGCAGCGTGTGTGGAGGAGGTGCTGCGGACACGGAGTTCTGTGCTGGCCTTTCCCACGGGGTGAGCAGTCGGCCGGCCGGACGGATTGGACAAGTGGCCCTTTGAGTGAAACTCGCATGAAGCCGACAGGACTGTAGAATTCTGCTCTCGGAGGGCAAGCCTCCAACATGGGGACCAAACAGACCAAAGGGCTGGTGCCCTCGGAGGGGGGGGAGAGCCCCCGTCGCCTGCTGGGCTCCAGGAGGAGGAGCGGGGGCCGGGAGAAGCCGGACTTCCTCTCGGCGATGGTGCTGCGCTCGAGCGAGCGGCTGGGGCGGGCGGGAGCTCCTCCATACCAGCGCCGAGTCAGCATGGTGCAGGAGATGGCAACGCTGGTCCGACAGGGCCGACAGCTCCAGGCCACGCAGCTCCTCAAGAGCCTGCGTCAGGTGAGCGAGCACACACACACACACTCGCTCACACACACACTCACACTCGCTCACACACACTCACACTCGCTCACACACACTCACACGTGCTAACGCACACTCACACTCGCTCTCACACTTGCTCACGCACTCACACTCGCTCACACACGCTCACTCGCACACACACACAGTCACACGCTCACACACTCACTCACTCACTCACACACACATTGGCCATCAGTCACTGGAGGAGAGAGGTACGTGGGGTCTCCTTGCACGTGGGTTGGCTCCAAGGTGACATCTCTGGCAACGGAATGGCAGTCTTGCTAGTCCAGTCCCTGAGCCAGGCAGCTCGGCAGTACTCCAGGGCACTGCTGATGACAGCCTGGCTCATCGGCAGGACCTGGAAGGGCAGACCAGTCACTGGGAGCAGGGACTCTTCCCACTCAGCTGTTAACCGTGCCAGCCAAAGCCCTAACGTGTAGGGTGGTCCTAGCTGGACAAGCAGGGGGAAAGCTTGCCAGGCAGCGCTCTCGAGGGCGATTTTAGTTGGTTGTCTCCTCCGACAATGCAACCCCCACCCCCCAACCCCGTCCCAGTGCTGCATTCACACTGGAGAGTCAGCCTGGACTGTGAGCTCAGAGTAAGGAACGTGGGAGGAGTAGCCTCTGTAACTCCTGTAAGTTTTACCGAGTTATTAATTCAGCCGCTCTCCCTGCTCGGTGAGCACTGGCCTGCGCCCTGCCCTGCCTCGCTCGACCTCCCGAGGTGAAAGCCACTAAACAGGATGAATCAAAAGTCCATACTCATATCGAGTTTTTAATTATTAATTATGTTGTTATTTTAAGACGCTGGTAGAGTGTGCGCGGCTATTACGGGAGATGTTCATGAAAGTTTTTGTCACTGAATTGACAATTGTAAAGTCTATGCGGCAATGCGGTTTGAACATCTCATATAGACCACTGCGTAAGGTCCTTGGATTCACCTTGTTTACATCTAAATTGTTCTTTAACTCGATTCTTCCACCTGACTTGGTCTTAAAATCCAAGGTGCCACAGAATTCCAGAAAAATCTTAAATGCCCACCTGAATGCGGAACCTGGTTCCGTCCAAGAATCGCAGGAACCTGACTCTCAAACTGAGGCCGTCAGTGAGAGAACCTGACCTTCGCGCACACCCTCACCGTCCGGCGGAAATGATCCCAAATTAAACTGGAGTGAAACGCACACTCCACAGCCCAGCGTGCGCCGCTATCACATGCATGTCCTGCGGATAAAACGTTAAGCCAAGGTCCTGTCTACCAGTTCAGGTGGATATTAAAGATCACACGGCACTATTGAACATGAGAGGAATTTTTCTCTCTCGCTCTCTCTCTCTCTCTCTCTCTCGCTGTCCTGGCCAACAGTCCCCCAGATATGACCGTTCAGTCAATCTGTGGCTGTTTGTGGGACACCGCTCTGCGCAAACTGACTGCTGTGTTTCACCAACACACAATCCACAGTTGCAACACTTCACAGTGTATCCTGTGAAGCGCTTTGTCTCGACGACGGGATAAGGCGCTTTATTATTAAATGCAAGGATTATTATTGTTGTTGTTGTAGCCCAAATGCTACCTGTCTGAGAGCAGTCTCTTAGCACAGGACCAAACCTGCGGCTCAGACTGTCCCCGTCTCTCTGCGGCATCCGCAGAGCAACCAACACGAGCTGAAACCCGCAAAGCAAACGTGCTATACTTTTATCTCTTTGGCGTACAGTCGTCACCGTCGTGGGCACATTGTCAGTGTGAGTGGGGAAGAATGTCTCACGGGGGGGGGCGGGTGATCCCCAGCCTCGTTCTCCTGTCCAGGTCTTTGGCTCCCACTTGCTCTCCCTCTCGTCTCCCACCTCTCCTTCTCTTCCTGTTTCTCACTCAGGCTCCATCTCCCACTTTAAACCCCCCCACACCTCTCCCCCCTCGTGGTCAGTGCCCACCCCCCCCCCCCCACCCCGCTCCAGTGGATCCCTATCATCATTGTGAAGTGGTTGGAGGGGCTGATGTTGGCACGGTGTGTGTCGAGTGGATGATGCGAGGATGCTGAGGGAGAGCATGTGGAGATACAGTAATTAACACAGGCTGGTCTCACCCATCATAACATGGCAATACCTGTCTCACACTGGCAGCCTCATTAGCTGACCCCCCCCCCCCACACTGACGTAACCAACACTCGCTGTTTAAGCCAAAACAGCTCCACGGTTTACAACAGCAACTTTTACACAGCGCCCTTCACGAGGGGTAGAGCCTCGGAGACCTTAACGGTGGTGGAGTTTGACACTGAGCCCCGGGGTTGGGGGGGGTGGGGGGGGCGCGCGGTAACCGTAGGCGCGGTCGAAGAGGAAGATCTTTCAGGCGCCATCTGACAAAAGGGGAACGAGGGTTTGAGGGCAGTTCCTGATTCTAATTTTCACAAAAGAAACCCAAATATTCGCATCATCTGAGTCCGCGCTGCATTCCACATCCCCTCCAGACACTTAGCAAAAGGGCAAACGTTAAACTAATCACGTGTCTCGTTGCTTTCACAACTCATCAGATCAGATCGGATCAGTGACAGGGATGAGCCGCGGCCAGGCTGACTCTCTCACGCTGTTTCCGAGTTTCTGGGATAAAAACACAACACACATATTGGCTCAATCGTGTAGATTTTTATTGCAACGCAACTGGTCCTAACTGTGGAAACATCTGCTTGTAGTTAGAGCTGCTCCTGCTCCGCACCCTACAGCGGAGAGGGAGCGAGAGCGGGAGAGACAGACAGGAGAGAGAGATTGAGGGGGAGGGAGAGGAAGCAATGGAGAGAGTGGGGGTGGGGGAGAGGGAGAGTGTGACGGACAGAGAGCATGGAAGAGGGGGAGAGAGCGTGCACGAAAGAAAGTGGGAGAGCGTGCAAGAGAGAGAGAGAGAGAGAGAGCGAGCGTGAGACGGAACTAAGCAACTTTATTCCTTGCTTGAGCCCATCCCCAGGGACTGGCATTGCTGCCCTTTCCAACCACCCCTCGTTCCCCCGCACTCACTGAGCCCCTGCGTTCCTCAACTTTAACCCCCCCCCCCCCCGCCCCCGAAATTCCACCCAGTCTCAGTCTGTGGAACAAGTTTACCTTTAAAATCTAAGGTTGGCTCAGGGTTGTGGACACATTTATGAAATTCCTAATTGGAAAGCTGGTTCCTTTCAGGAAACGTTGTAAACAGTGTCCAAACTCCCACTGTGTTGAAGACGTTTTCTAGGTTTGTGCAGTTTTAGACACTAAGGCAGAATGGCCTCATCCCGGGCTCTGGAATTTCAGGCCTCCCGGATTGGAAGATGGTCAGGAATTTCGGGAAGGATTTCTTTCCGAGCCTCCTGATGACGATAAGCGCCTCGGCCGTGTGCGCGTGTGTTTGTGTGTGTCTCTTCACTGGCTTTACCGCACCGTCTTCCCCAGCACTGTGACCAGAGGGAGAGGCCAGAGAGAGGGAGAGGAGGGGGAGGCAGAGAGTAACACAGTGATAAAGCGCCCACACAGACCAGCGCTTCACAGGATACACTGTAAAGTGAATTAACTGTACATTTTGTGGGCGACAAATATACAGTCAATTCAATTCACCTCAGGCTGGCATCTGGCAAACCAGGTCTCCTGTTGAGATTTGCTTGTGTTGGTTACCACGACCGAATCTGACCCACGAATACAAGTCAGGGGATTGCGGGAAGGATTCATTGAGCTCCTGGCAACAGTTATGCCTTCATTTTAAGGCAGAATGGCCTCTCACAAAGGCTCTGGAATTTCAGGCCTCCGGGATTAGAAAATGGCCCGGAACGTCAGGAATGAACGCTTTCTGAATCTCCTGATGAATCGCTACAATACCCATTCCTACCTCTGTGGGCTGGGATCGGTATGGCAGTATTTCTGGTCTAAGCAGTTTGACGTGCTCACACAGAGGAAGCAGAGAGAGTGGAGTGCAGAGCTAGCTCGAGAATTTGGTCATTAGGAGATGGGTCAGGTCTACGTTGTCCTTTGACAACGGGGGTTTGGGGGTGGGAGGCGGGGGGTTTGGGGATTGTTTATGAGGACAACGCTCGTTCCCTAAGTGGAACGCGGTTTGCTCTAATTCGGCTACTGGGGCTGAGCAGGACCTTAACCTCGCTCACCAAAACAGATCCGTGCTAACGTTTGTTCTCCACACAATCGCCAACCGCTCCTGTTCCCCCATCCTGTTCACTTCTTCCTCGTGAAAGCTTCAACCACAGCTTCCGGCAGCGAGTTCCACTTTCTCACCACCATCTGTGTGACTAAGTTCCTCTTAAGCTCCCTGTTTGTGCGTCAGCCTGGCTCAGTGGCTAGCACTCCCGCCTCTCGAGTCGGAGGATTGTGGGTTCAAGCCCCCACATCGGGTGGGAATCACACAGTCTAATCTGATGTTCCAATGCAGCGATGGGGGTTTGCCACATTGTCAGAGCAAGTGCCGTCCTTTGGATGAGATGTTAAACCGAGGTCCTGTCTGCCTGTTCAGGTGGATATTGGAGACCCCACGGCACTATCGGAAAAGAGAAGGGAGTTTCTCTCTCTCCCGGTGTCCTGACCTACAAAATATACAGTCACTCCATTTCACAGTAAATCCTGTGAAGCGCTTTGAAGATCGAATTCACGATCGCCTTACCCTGAGGTGGGAGGGTGAGCAAACGAGCCGGGCTGAGGTCAACACACTGAGGCCAGAGCCCTCCTCTGATGTGTGCTGGAGCCCAGAGACATCAGAGAGAGTGAGCACTGAATCAGAAGAACACATGGTGCTGCAGACAGCCGCTGAACCTGGGGAGACAGTGGAAAGGTGCCAGGAAATCCAAGCCTCTTATGTTTCGTGCTTCCTGCTGTCCTTCAGTCTCGACTGTGGAAGACTTTGCTGTTGGTACCTGTGTCTGCCTGGTCTCTCAATCCCAAACTCTCCCTACGCTAGCACATTCCCAATGCGCTCAGCTGATTTGATTCTCTTTGAAACAGGCCACGAGAGGCTCTCCTAAACTGTCTGTAATCTCCTCAGCTGTCCCTCCTCTAAGGGAGTTTCTCCTGGTGTCCTGGCCGTCGATCCTCCCGGAAAAATTGGCCGTTTGTGTTTGCGGGACGTTGCTCTGTGCAAATTGGCCACCGTGTTTCTTACCTACAAATACACAGTCACTTCACGTTGCGGTAAATCCAACTGAGAATTCCACGCATCCCACATCCAGATGGGAATCCCAGAGATTGATTGTTGGAATGGAATGCACTCTCTCTCTCTCTCTCTCCCTCTTTCTCTCTCTCCCTGGAGGGACGCATCCTGCTTACTCATCCCCAATTCCGGAAAGTAATAGGAGTAGTAAAAAAAAATGATAACAATGATAATAGTATCATTCCCTCTCCTCATCCAAATTTACCCTAAATCCTCATCTGCTGCTGTTTACAGATGGTCTGGCCTGTGCAACAGCATCTCATTTCAAATCAATTACAGTTTGTAAAGCTTTTTGTGCAGTGTGTGAAAGGCGCCGGTTAAGTGCAAGTTATTAGCATCATTACGATTATCCAGAAGCGCACTCAGCGGTTGGAGTGCACAGAAGCACATGAGAGGCTTGAATGTTGAGTGGAGTCTGTGGTCTTGGAGCCGTCTCCCAGCTCCCACCACCCGGCCCGCGGCAGCTGATGAACAGACCCTCGTGATGTCTGAACCGGTTGGGATTTATCGTTTATCCTGTGAAATAATAATAATAATAATAATAATACAACAACGATAACCCGTGCAATTTGATACAGTGCCTTGCACATCAAATAAGAGGGCGCTGGTATCTCGCACCTTATTATTCCAAAGACGGGATTTTGCCCCTGATATTGGGGGAGTGTTCCCTGAGCCATCGCCCCAGCATCACTCTGAGAACCCGTGTTAGTGCCTCATCGGTCTCCCCCTCTACATCAGCTCGTGAGAGTGGCCCTGGCTCTCTCTCAGCTGCTGGCTTGTGTCCTTGAGTGACCCAGCTCAGCCTCAGGCCCAGCTCAGCACAGCTCCCAGCACTGTGCAGGTCTCAAACCGGCAATAATTCCAGCGATCAGCAAAGCTACAACACGCTGTAACCTGTAACCCTCAAGAGACTCTGCACCACAACCCGCATTGTCGCACTGATAGACACCCCTCACTGTCGCACTGTTAGACACCCCTCACTGTCACACTCAGTCCGGTTTGGATACCCTTTAGCATCGTGATGAGATTCCACGTCTCAGACACCCGGCTGATCACGGTGATGGGTTTCCGCGTGTGTCAGATCACCCACTGACCTAAATGGTTGTCTCTTTCTCTCTCTCTCTCTCTCTCTCCCTCTCTCTCCACCCAGGATTTAGGGATGGAATCCACCTCCCTGGACGATGTCCTGTACAGATACGCCAGCTTCCGCAACCTGGTGGATCCCATCACTCACGACCTGATCATCAGTCTGGCCCGGCACATCCACTGCCCCCGGCCGGTAAGGGATTCGCCACCCAGCGCCAGGGGACAACAGCACAGACACCGCACCCCACCGCACAGGGCCAAGGGGGCCCGGGGGAGGGGTGGGGGGTTGCATAAGGGGGGAACAGCAACGGGCTGTGCTATTCTCGGGCAGTCACACACTTCCCCTCACCCCCAACACGCGCTGTCACACGAACATCCTGTCCTACTCACGCACACTGTCTCACACGCATGCTCTGGCACACTCACACATTGTCACTCACACACACTCACCATCACACTCGCACTGGGTCACACTTATACATGCTCACAAAAACCACACACTCGCTCACTGTCACACTCAGGCGATAATCCTCACACCTACCCCCTGTGTCAGCCTCGCTCACCGCGCCAGGAATAACCCAGATGCCTGTGCCCTGACATTGAGACCCAGGAGCAGTGAGACTGCTGTGTAACAGAACCCAGTCTGTCCCGCTCAGCCCCCGAGGACAGCGATGGTTAATAATAACAACAATAACAATCCTTGCATTTGATGCAGTGCCTTATCACGTCTTCGAGACGTCCCAAAGGGCTTCACAGGATACACCGTAAAGCGTAGTGAGTATGCTTTATGGGCGATCTGTCACATTGAGGCAACAGGCGGCACTGACTCCCTCTGAGCAATTTATCATCATGGTGCAGACAGCGCCAGGCTTCCTGCCATGACTAATGATCTGTCTCTGTGGCCAGAGGGTCATAGAGTTGGAGTTCTGATGGTGAGCACTCTCAGGTCAGGTTTAGCAACAGAGTGAAGCTCCCTCTACACTGTCCGACCACACTCCCAGCTCAGGTTTAGCGACAGAGTAAAGCTCCCTCCCTCCCTCCCTCCCTTAGCATTGTTTGAAAAGAGAAGGGAGTTTCTCTCCTGGTGTCTTGGCCAACAAATCTCTCACTCCACGGCTGCTGTGTTCGTCTACAAAAATACACAGTCACTACACTGTCCAGTGAATCCTGTGAAGTGCTTTGTAACATCCTCCCAATGGGAAAGGTGCTGTATCCACTGTAAGGATGATTGCCAGCCCAGAAACTCTTAACAATCTGCGTGTGTTGTTGGAGGGGCCTCGTGGGAGGTGGTGTGTTGGAGACCAGTTTGTGTGAGGCCCAGGGAGAGGGGGGAGGGAGGTAGTGCAAAGCGTTGCTGCTGAGCTGTTCAGCTCCTGCCGTTTTCTCCGCTGTTATACAGGGAAGTGATTGATGTGGAAAAGCATCAGCAGGGCCTGGGAGCTGAGTCAGCGAGGGGTGGAGGTGGGGGAAAGATTGGTGGGTGGGGGGATTCACGTGCCTGAACGCCCTCTTGCTGAGCAGATCAGCCTTTCTCACTGATTAACGAAGCCACAAACAGAATAAATGTCCATGGGCTAAAATTCACTCTTAGCCCCTGTTCGCTTCCCCTACACAAGCTGGAGCAGCCGGTCTTTGTTGGGAGACTCACTGATACAATGACCTTCTTCCTCATACGCCCGAAATTCCACCCCTTTTGTCATGAAATGGACGCTCGCTGAGAACCGAGGGATGTTAATCACTTAAATTTGATCTTAATCATTAAAGCCCTTTTTCTTGAACGGCTTTTTTCTTAAAGAAGAGAAACTGTTCTCCCAAATGACGACTGGGTTTAAGAGTTTTTCCCCACTGTTTCTGCGTCACCTTATGCGTCGAGAGGCAAAATGCTCTCACAGGCTAAGACTAGGTGGGATTTCAACAACAACTCGCATTTATATTGCACCCTTCACCCAGGGTAGTAATCCGTAGCGCTTGACAGTCTGACACCGAGCCAGGGGGAGAGAGGGGGAGGGGGGGAGGTTGACCGTAAGCATGATCAAAAAGGAAGGTCTTTAGGAGGGATTTGAAAGTGGGGAGGGGGGGAGTGTGGGGGCCTGGTGGAAGGATTGAGGGAGAGAGTCCCAGAGTCCCAACTAAGCCAACTGTCCTCATGGCTGTCCCCTCCCCGTACTCCCTCCTGACTGCTGAGCCTGTCTGTCACTGCGTGTGGGGCCGTCTGTCGCTCACCCGTGACTGACCCGCGTTTCACCACCTGACTCAGACGTGCTCTGAGCGTGTCCGCATTTACATGGGAAATACACGTGTGTAAGAGACACGCAGTGTGCCTCAAGGTCTGTGGTGTGTGTGTGTGTGTCTATGTATTGCAGGAGGGCGATGCGGTGGGAGCCACGGAGAAGGTTTGCCGGCAACTGACCTACCACCTGAGCCCACATTCCCAGTGTCGTCGTCGGGGGCCGGGCAGGGGGAAGCCCCAACACTGGTAGGTTTCTGTGCAGAACATAACGTGGGGGTGGGGGTGTCTGTGTACGTATCTGTGTGCGCGTGTGTATCTGCCTATGAGTCTGGATGTGTGTGTGTGTGTGTGTGTCTCGGCGTTTGTCTGTGCCTTTGTGTGGGAGGGTGCCTGTGTGTGTGTATATCTCAGTGTGTGTGAGGGTTTGCTGGTGTGCGTGTCAGTGTGTATCTCAGTCCGTGTAGGTGTATATTGGCTGTGACTGGGTGTACGTCTCCTCAACCAGTCACAGCTAATACAAACAGACGTGCGTGCCGGAGTGTGTATCCTCATGGGAGGGAGGGAGGGCGGGGGGGGGGCATTTATTTGGGGTAACGTCGCACTCTGGTGCTGGTGCTGGTGGTGGGGGCGGTGTGGGAGGAGGCTTCGGTGGCTGTTTTTGGCATAAATAAACTTGAGACGATTTGCTCGACAGTTGTGTCTGCGAGGACACGGCCCCTTTAAATGCAGTTGTCTCCAGGCCGGGGTGATGGGGTGTGAACATCTGGCGGCCAGATGTTCAGGGAGTTTCATTCCGTCGCTCGGTGAGGTCACTGTGTCCTGGGAAACACCGGCAATGAGGATCCAGCCTGGGGCGGGTGGAGGAGGCCGGGGCAGTGTGATATATGGTGCATAGGCTACAGTGTGTGATATACAGTAGTGTGATATATGGTGCATAGGCTACAGTGTGTGATATACAGTAGTGTGATATATGGTGCATGAGCTACGGTGTGTGATATACAGTACAGTGTGATATGTGTGGACTGGACACCGTATATCACACTGCACTGTCTATCACTCACTGCCTACACAGTGTGATATATGGTGCATAGGCTACAGTGTGTGATATACAGTACAGTGTGATATGTGTGGACTGGACACCGTATATCACACTGCACTGTCTATCACTCACTGCCTACACAGTGTGATATATGGTGCACAGGCTACAGTGTGATATACAGTACAGTGTGATATGTGTGGACTGGACACCGTATATCACACTGCACTGTCTATCACTCACTGCCTACACAGTGTGATATATGGTGCTGGGCCTCAGTGTGATATACCGGGTGTGCTATACGGGGCCTGATCTGCAGAATGTGATGTGTGCTGCACCATATAACAAGAGTAAGAATAATCCCCGCCGTTGACGCAGCGCCTTTACCGCATCTTCGAGACGACTCGGAGCGCTCCACAGGATGCAAGTGTAAAAGTGTAGTGACCGTGCGTTTTGCGGGTGAAACGCGACCCCGGTCTGGAGTGAGCCAGATACAGGGTGGGTGCAGCCCCCCCGCGGAGCGCGTGGCTCTGGGGCTGAGGAGCTAAGCCAGACGTGTTTGTCAGGAAAGAACCTAAACATCAGCAGCTCCGCTCCCCGCAGCCCCCCACCCCCCCCCCCCCCCCGCTCCCCCGCCCCCCCCCCGTACAGACTCTGGTTGGAATGTAATAAAATCTGTATTAACGGCAGCAGTGCTCATGTTGGTATGGCAACCAACGTTAAGCTGTGAGCTGATATGACCGGAGAGGAATGTGAGCCTCGGCTCAGTACCAGGCTGGGCCGCCATCGGGCCACCGACAAACAAGGGGCTTCCCCCCCCAACCCCCCCCAAACACCCTCAGCGGAGGTGCCCTCCAGCACCTCCTCACAGAGGGCTGTGCCATATATCACACCCCACTGTGTACAACATACCACACAGTGTACAGCCTATATCCTATGGGTATCTGGTTGTTAGTCGATTGGCAGATCGCTTTCCAGGGGTAATAATCCCTCCCATTCCCCCCCCCCCCCCCAAAAAAAATGTGGTCACTCAATCTACAGTTGTTTGTGTGAGACGGCTGCGCACAATTGGCCCCGTTTCGCCCACACAATACAGTCACTACCCTTTGCAGCATATCCTGTGAAGCGATTTGAGACGTCTGAACAACATGATAAGCTGCTGTGTCCAATGTAAGGATTATTATCATTATTATTATATTTCTGCGCGCAAACCGGCTGCTGTTGTTTCACCTATAAAAAATACAGTCACTCCACTCTTCTCCAATTCCTGTGAAGCGTTTGAGGCAACTTGATGACGCGATAAGGCGCGATACGAAATGTAAGGATTATTATTATTTTGTTATTATTATTATTAATGAGTTCCTTTCCCTGCCCACCGCCCCCCCCCACCCCCGTCTACTCCCAGCCTGAAGGCCGTGCTGTCGGAGACGGTGGGGAAGGAGTCGGTGGACCTGTCTGGCATCTTCCTGGGGGGTAGGGAGGTGGAGAGGTTTTTGATGTATCTGGAGCAGCAGGGAGGGCACATGGCTAGCATTGAACTCTGCTTCACCGAGCTGACAGACCAGGGCTTCCTCCAGCTACTGCCTTCCCTCAGCCGCCTGCCTCATCTCAGCCACCTCTCCCTCAACGGCAACCGGTTAACCCGGGCCGTGCTGCGGCCACTCACCGACACCCTCAAGCACCCGCACGCCTTCCCCAGCCTGGCCTGGATCGACCTGGGCAATAACGTGGACATCTTCTCCCTCCCCCAGCCCTTCCTCGTCAGCCTCCGCAAGCGCAGCCCCAAACAGGGCTCCCTGCCCACCATCCCCGAGACCGGAGAGGGACTGGCCGGGGAGAGAGAGAGCCTGGCTGGGGAGCCTGAGGTTGGTAATGGTGAGGAGACTGAGGCTAATGCTGTGTCAAACCAGACCTGAAGGGGGGCGACACTATAGGGGGCGTTGGAGCGAAACAACTGAATGCGTGAGGCGTGGCTTTCCCGTGCAGGACGTGGCTTTCCCGAATGGGGCAGGGCTTTCTCCTGTGGGGTGGGGCGGAGCGAGTGCCCCACCGCCAAACAACAACGATAAGGAGCAAATTGCATTTACACAGCACATTTCACGTCTTGAGGACGTCCCAAGGTGCTGGGCAGTTAAGGGTTTGCACCCGAGCTGGGGGTTGTGATCAAGAGGAGAGTCGGTGGCAGACAAGGCTGGTGGGAGGAGAGTTTGGGTGGTGGAGAGTTGGCGGTGGGGGAGGGGGTCGGCATGTTCTCACCCCCCAACCCCGCTGGATCGACTTCTTGTCACTGTTAAATCATGGATTGATTCTTTGTATTTCTTTTGTTAATAAAATATTATTTGAATCAATTTCCAATTAGTTGCTCTTTGGGGGGGGATGGGGGGGCGCAGTGTTTTGGGCACTCTTGGATAATCATCCTATAGTGAGAGAGAGAGAACACGTTGGGGGTAACTGCTGGATTCTAACCGGGTAAAACCCGCACAGCTTGCCATTGATATCGCTGTCTGGCGAGCTTTCCAGCGACTTGTCGAACTAGGACAACCCTTCCCGTCGGGGCTTTGGCCGGCAGGGATAACAGGAGCCGAGTGGGATGACTCCTCGCCCCAATGACTGGTCTGCCCTTCCAGGTTCTGCCGATGAGCCAGGCTGGGCGGTGCTGTCGTCGGCGGTGACCTGGAACTCTGCGGACCTGCCTGGCTCAGGAATATACTGGGAACGTTAGAAACCATAAACCGCAAAGGGTAAAAATCTTGGATGACGTCTTCGGTGCGGACGGTGCGGAAGCTCAAAAGCACCACCTTCTGGATGTTTGGTATCACAGTTGAAAGCCACATATGCTACCCTCAGTAGTTTGGTTTGGGGACCCTCGGTGATGGGTTCCTGCATGCGTCACACTCCCGGACACTATAGAGAGAGAGAGAGAGAGCGAGAAGGCCACCGAGTGAGGAGTTTGGCTGCCAGCGTACTGACACAGCACAACAACAACAACAACAACAACAGCAGCAGCAAAGTGCATTTATACAGAGGCTTTCACTTCAGGAGGGCGTCCCAAGGCACCGGGCACACAGAGTACTGACACAGGGCACACCGTCAGCAACATGGATATTGGAAATAGTTTTTTTTATTATTAATTTCTATCAATATAATGTATATAACATACTATTATTATTTACCATTGCCTGTTTGGAGCACCCTCTCTGTGCCAAAACCTAAAAGAAAAACTTACAACAACAACAACAACAACAAAATTACATTTTTAGGGACGTTTCACGCCTAAAAAAAAATGTGATTGATTTCAAGGAATTATATTCGCCGGCAAAGTGCACAGTCACTACACTTCGCAGTATATCCTGTGAAGGCGCTCTTGAGACGTCTCAACCACGCGATATCAAATCCAGGGATTGCTATTATTCTTAGAACTGAAAAAAAATGCAGAATTAAAAAAAAAAGCCCTTTACAGTTTATTTTCTGGGGGAAAAAGAGAGAAAAAAAAATATATATATATATATATGTGTACAATCTGAACCTGTGGCTGTCAGGGACTGAGGTTGGCCGCGGACCTCCGGGTGGCGCTGTGGGTGTGACCGCGGCGGACGGAGGAGTCGGGGGAGGGAGGTGCTCTCTTGCGCCAACCCCCCGCAGCTCGTTGGTAGCCTTTCGACCGTTATTTTCCGTGACGTCAGCCAATGAGCGGCGGCGGTTGGAAATTTGAATTTGAGGGCAGGAAAAAAAACGGCGGAGACTCGAGACCCGCGAATAAGAGAGAGAGAGAGAGACCGACACCGGCGGTAAGAGAGAGAGAGACACCGGGGATAACAGCGAGAGAGACACCGGGGATAAGAGAGAGAGAGAGACACCGACCCTGACACCGGGGGTAAAGAGAGACCGACCGACCACCGGGCCTGCGACCCTGCGACCCGCACTGCCCTGACACCGGGGCGGGGGGGAAGGTAAGAAGCACCCGGTCCGGTTACCGGGGGAGAAGGAGAGAGAGAGACCCCGGGCCCTGAGTGGGGGGGGTGTTGGGTGTTGGGTGTGTGGACGAGACGTTATAACCCCAGGTCGGGTCTGTCTGGTCAGGGCCCGGTGGCTGTGGAAGACCTTCAACGACGACAACACCGACGACAACAACTTGCACCAATATAGCGCCCTCCACAAGGGGAAGGCAGTTCCTCTCCCCCAGTTCGCCTGTGGCCAACCGTCTCCCCCCTCCACCCACCCTCCACCCCCTCAATAAACGTGGGCACTCACTCCGTGGCTGTCGGTCAGACACTGCTGTGGGCGAACTTGACAGCTGTTGTTTTTTCCCCCCCCCCCGTCTGACAATACACAGTCACTCCACTTGACTGTGCAGTAAATTATTATCATTATCATTATTATTATTCTTATTCTTATTGCCGCCGCGAAGTGCTTTGCGATCTCCGGATGACGTGTTAAGGTGTTGTAATATCAAATGCAAGGATTATTGTTATTGTTATTATTATTATTGATCGTCATCATCATCATCATCAGAGACCAGGCCCTGGGGATAAAGAGAGCCTGGGGTGAGGGGAGCGAGAGCTCCGGCTGTGTTCAGTCCCGGGGTGGGGGCGGGGGGGAGACCCAGCTGATTGCCCACCTGGTTTTATTATTATTATTATAATTAACGCGCGGCGTTTCCCGCCCCTCTCGTCAGGTGAAGGCGAAGATGATTCAAAGGCGATCTGTCAAGGCCTCTTCCTCGGAGAACGAGGGGCCACAACAATTTCACACTGTGAGTCCCGTCTTCATTTCTGTTCTGAACTGAAATCCATTTCGTTTGATCAGTGTCAGTCTGTCCGTCTGTCCGTCCGTCCGTCCCGGCCACTCTGCTCCTATTAGGTTTGGTAGAAAGTAAGTGATCCGTTTTGTCCACTTTGCTTTCTTCTCCCATGTTCCCTACAGGCGCTTTCTTTATGTTGCAGGACAGCACCCCAGGACCCTCCCCCACACAGCTAATCTTCTTTTGTAATAAGACAAAATAATAACCGATTGTGGTAGAGACATGATTTATACCTCATCTGAAAGGTCTTGCAATGGGGGAACGTCACGGGCATATTTCTTTCCTCGGGAATCTCCTATCGATGAGCTATATTAAAAAAAATGCTTTAATTAAGCCCCCTCAAAAAAGTTGTGCATGGTATTCTGCATCAAAGTAATGACAGAGGTCACACACCCTTCCAGAGGGATACATCTTCTATAATAATAAAGACAAAATTGATCTTGCTTGGGGGAGTGTCATGGGCATATTCTTTTTCGGGGATCTTCTATTGTGACCTAAACAAGCTCATCACACCTGTATGGACTCCAACCATGAGACTTCCCAAAAGGACATGTGTGCAAATATGGGAATAAGGGATACTCACAAGTTCTTAATCTTAAGTCATAAGGATGCCTAAGAAGCGAAGATCAAGCCTTTCAAGGAGAAATAAAAATGCCACACGAAAGAGAGAAGGCCGATTAAATGAAACTGGCTGCAAGTGTAGCTGCAAAGGGTACAGCTAGTGTTTTATATGTGAGCCGAGACAGTGAGTGTGGCAGGCTGTTCATTCTAAAATGGGAGCCATCCGAACTCTCCTTGCACAACAAGAATCGACAATGAGCGTTTTCCTTTCTTCTTAACCTACAGACACTTCATTATTCCTTTCCCTACTATCAGTCTCTGCTGAGAGAGGGCTTATCTCAGGTTGACGATTGAATTTGGTCAGTCGGGGTTTATTACCATCAAGGGCTATGGGGGCAATTGGAGTTGAGGTACAGATTAGCCATGATCTTATAGAATGGCGGAACGTGTTTGAGAGACTGAGCGGCCTGCTCCTGTTCGTATATTCTCCCCGTTTGAGAGTGTTGCCTAAGCCACGTGTTCATGCTCATTCCGTTATTTCTTGTGCAGCCAACCAAGATGTCCGATCCCCGGCAGCCGCTGCGGGACATGTTGCTCCAGAACAGTGTCCAGCGGGGGCTGAAGAAGTTGGATGTGGACCGGCTTTCCATGAATGTGAATGTCACAGGTCTAACGCCGATGCTCAACAAACTTCACTTACAGGTGAGGGAGGGGAAAGAAGGCCTCAGAAGTCCAGTGACCCCTCTAAACGAACCCCCACGTGCGATGTGTGTTATGTTCTTTCATTGGATCCCTTGCACTTGTGGTCAGTTCAACTATTCAATTATTTCTTTCATGTGAAGGAAATCACTTGAAGCGTGTCACAGAACAGGATTCATTAGAAATACAGCGAATGTTGTTATGGAAGCCAATGTTAATGACAGCAGCAGCATCCCAACAACAACCATGTGGCAATAAGTCATTGTGCTTAATGTAGGAGGTCATGAGAGGTCATGATCTGGGAACCGTCTTCACAATTGTTTTTCCTTCTCCCTTCCAGAGCGAGATTCCAAGCTCCCCAACCCTTGTTTATGAAGATGTCTTTGGAGAAGAGCTGCTCAAAAGTGCTGCTCGGGCAAGAGGGCTGACTCCACTTGTGGCTCGTGGAGTCCTTAAATCCCGGGCTCCTGTGAGACCCATAAGGCCAGAGACTCCATCACTAATCCGAGAATCTCTGAACAACTCCTCTGTGCCATCTGTGTGTGCACCATCTGCCGATACTGGCAACGCTGTTCAGCCAGAAGATTCAATGCTGGAGACTGAAGTGGAAGTTGAGACTGTCCCTGGACAGGATAAACTGGACAAGCGAGATAGACTCCCAGTGATGTTCAAGTCTCCAAGTCCCTGTGTGGCTGTGGCTATTCCTGCTAGCCCACAGCCTGACCGACGGATGGACACACCTCAGCAGCCTTGTCCTGAGGCTCTTGCTGATGTATGTTCAGGCTCCGTTCCTCAAATGGACACCAACCGAGATGAGGATCAACTTGTGAAAACCCAAACGGCAGCAGTTTCCTTCCCCCAGCCAGTGGTCGAAAGTCTTGAAAACCTAAACGGGGCGGTCACTGCCAACTCTGCCGTGAAGTCCCCAGAAGTGCACGTGAGTCCTATACCCAGGATGGATATGGAGAGGGAGACTTTCTCTACAAAGGCGGTCGAGAGGCCTGAAAGTTCCCCTGGAATCTCGGAGGCTTTAGGCTGTACATTGGTTACAAGCCCCAGTCCCAGTGTGGAAGTCCAGCGAGGCATTGGAGAGAATTGTGACATGAACATTAGCATTGAGACATTGCCAGTGCTGCGCAGTCCATCATTCTCCGTTGAGACAGAGGCTGGAGAGGTGGCTCTGAGCCCACAGCCCAGGGTGGACATTGAAAGCAGCACAAGCACCCCAATCCTGAGCCCTCGGGTTGTGGAAATACTGTGTGCATTTCAGACTGTGCCAGAGGCGATCCACAACCTCATTCCTGGACCTCAGATAGAGGAGGAGGGAAGACCTGATGTGGAGGTGGGCACGAGCCCTCTCCCTGGGCCGGGTATGGAGATGACTAACCTGGTAGATGATGTCAGTGAGGTGGTGACTAGCCCAGTAACTGATGCCAGTGAAGAGGTGACTAACGTGTTAGATGATGTGATTGAGGAGGTGATTAACCTGGTAACTGACGCTATTGAGGAGATGACTAGCCCAGAAGCTGATGCCAGTGAGGTGACCAACCAGCTAGATTATAGTGAGGAGGTGACGATCCCGGTAACTGGCATTAGTGTTGAAAATACAGACTGCTTCTCTGAGCCAGGTGAGGAGCTCACTGGCCTTCTGCCTGGGTCCAGTGATGAGGAGGTCACTAGGCAACTTCCTGAAGCCAATGCTAAGAAGGACGTGAGCTTTTTACCCGATACAGGTGTGGAGGTGGGCACGAGCCCTCTCACTGGGCCGGGTATGGAGATGACTAACCTGGTAGATGATGTCAGTGAGGAGGTGACTAGCCCAGTAACTGATGCCAGTGAAGAGGTGACTAACGTGTTAGATGATGTGATTGAGGAGGTGATTAACCTGGTAACTGACGCCATTGAGGAGATGACTAGCCCAGTAGCTGATGCCAGTGAGGAGGTGACCAACCAGCTAGATTATAGTGAGGAGGTGACGATCCCGGTAACTGGCATTAGTGTTGAAAATACAGACGGCTTCTCTGAGCCAGGTGAGGAGCTCACTGGCCTTCTGCCTGGGACCAGTGTTGAGGAGGTCACTAGGGAACTTCCTGAGGCCAATGCTAAGAAGGATGTGAGCTTTTTACCCGATACAGGTGTGGAGGTGGGCACGAGCCCTATGCAACCTATGCCAACTTGTGCCCTGATGTGCATGGTCCACACCAAGGGCTTCCATACGCCTACCCCAATGGACGCCATGGCTGGTTGGAGACTGTTGGGAACAGAAGTCATCCGTAATCGCGTCTGCATTCGGGAAGTGAGCACGGCCATCACCCCCATTGGAACACAGTGTGCAGAGAGCAGCATGACCCCGCTGAGCCTTGCCGACAAGAGCATCAACACCTCACTGCAGGAGGAGGTCAGGCAAAGCCAAGTGGTGGACAGTGCCACGCTCACAGACTCGCTCCTGTGGAAGTAAGCAAGAGGCTTCTGGTGTATGTTAGAGCTTGGAGGAGCTTTGCTGGGAGATTTGGGAGTTCAAGCGCGCTGGTTGGAACTCGGTAAACGTGTAGAACTAGTCCCAATCCTGCCCTCATCCAATATTAATAATAATAATAAATAATAATCCTTGCATTTGATAAAGAGTCTTATCACGTCTTCGCAATTGCGCTCAACGGTGTCCCCACAAATAGTCATGGACTGAGTGACCAAATTACTATTACACTTCATACACTTTACAATGAAATCCTGTGAAGTATGCTTTGAGACGTCCCAATGATATGATCAGCAAGTATTATTGTGCTGACACTTTACCCTGCTTGTATTTTCATAGTGTCTACAATTTTGAAATGTCACAATAATCACTATGTAGTGACTGTGTATAGGGGCAAATTGCTTCATATAATGTGGACTGTTGTGTTCCCTTCCTTTCTCGTCCACAGTATTTCCCGCAAAGATCTGGACTCGGTTCCTCGGGAGGTATTGGAGCGCCGCTTGGAGACTGCGCTGCTCATGAATGATGTGCTGTGCAGCCAGCTGAACGACCTGGCCAAGAGCAAGGGAGTGGGTCTTCATGTCGGGCCTGCTGATCTGAGGGAGATTTTCACCCAGACTGACAGCACACAGGCCCCAGAGGTACACAAAACCTATTGATTCAGAACGTGCTGGGGTTGAGCTTGTGCCATGGTGTGCGTGTCTCGCTCTCTTTCTCTCTCACACACTCACTCGCTCTCTAGCTACTTGGTAAAATGTTTTGGTTTTCGGCTGCTAAAATTATTGATCTGTTTTTTTAAAAAAATATAAAAGTTGACCGAGCTGCTGGGAAACCACTCAGTGTCACTAGAGGGCATTACGTTCCCTATAATCAGACTCTGCTCCTTCAGTCCTTGTACAAATGCAGTTAGCAATACCACAAGATGGTGCCAGTTCCCACCGACGAAGGGAGATAAATGGAAGCTGTCTTGATTTTGTGCCAAGCAGGTTGAACAGCAGTACCGTGATCTCTATCTCCGCACACTCGGGCGCATGCAGGACCTGGAGATGAGCCTGGAACAGTATCAGCAGCTTCAGAACTTCATCTGCCAGAATCGCGAGGAACAAGTGAGTCTGCACATAGCTGCGTAAACACAATCAAGATAATTACTGTATTGAGAAAAGTAACTGCAGCGCAGGTTGTGGGGCTGGGTCTGCTTTCTAGACTTTCAGCGTGGGGGAGTGAGTGAGGCTCGTGTTATCCAACTGAGAAATTAGTTGCTTTTCTTCCACAGAATCGGGCAGTGCAAGAGGTTGAGGAAACCTCTGGGTACATGGCCAGTGCTTATGAGGAAGTGAAGAAGGAACGAGTCAAATTGAGGCAGCAGGTGAGGTCACATGGTGAAGTTAAATGGGTCTTTGTTTTTGCTGTGGTTTTCCTGGCTTTCTGGTACGATAATCACTGCTTCGAAACGCTCAAAAACGGTTTCCCAGGGAATTACTGTCAATACAATCTTCGTAGGTGTAGGCAAACACAGCAGCCAGTGTACTGGTTGGTCTCAGAATCAGAAGCTGTGGGTTTGATCACCAAAACTGGTGTTGCTAATATTCCTTCCTTATCCAAATTCACCAAAAACATAAATTAGTTACTCTTCTCATTTATGTGTATGGGTGGGACATTGTTGGTGCAGAACAGTTGCTGTGTTGCAACCATAACTACATTTTTGGTAAGTGCTCCTGAGATGCTTTGTGGGGGTCGGGTGCTATATCCAACGCTCGTGTTAATTTACTGATGTTTTTTGCCTTTTTGTTGTAGACCCAGGAGATGAAGCAGTTGCTGAAGAGCAGCACGGAGGTCCTGTACACCATGAGGGAACGCACTCGCTGTGCCTTCCAAGAGCATGCTCAGATGAAGCGGAACATGGAGAATGCACTGACAGAGAAGGAAGCAGTGAGTGAAAATCAGGCTGTACATGAGAATCTTCCTGCTGCCTCTGCTCCTCTATCACCCCAAAAATACACAGTCACTACACTTTACACTGAAGTGCTTTGAGAGGTCTCGACGAATTGATGAGGCACTATGTCAAATGCAAGGATTATTATTATTGCTCATTCCCTCTATCTCTGATAGCTGAGCCCTCATGAGAACCCATGTCCTCTGGAACTCTTTCGAACCACTCTGCCTCACTAATTCTCTCCCTGCCTTCCTTCACAAGAGCTGATGTCTTTAACAGTGACTGTCAGAAACCAGAGTGCAGCTGCCAGCCTTAATGGAGGGAGAGTGAATAAAGAACACTGGTATAATTCCGGTTGTTTTGTGGGGAAGGCTGCCTCTGACGTACAGTACTTTTGTCTGTAGTGTGAATCGGCTTTCATACTTGAGGCCAATCTGTGAGAACTTGTTACTCTCATTTCCCAGGTGGATCAGTGTTGCAGACTGCTCTCTGGGAGTTCTGCCGACCGGATCGCTCGGCTAGAGTTGGACCTGGTCACCTGGAAAGAGCTGTGCGCGTCGCTACAGAAAGCTGGTGCTGAGCAGGTTGTGTGTGTGTGTGTGTGCTTCTAGAACCTACTGCTTCAAACCTTTAGTCACTCAAGCTCCCTAGTGATTGAGTAGCTGACAGATAGTGCCCCAGGCTATTGATCTAGCCGAGCCAAGGCTATACTGGAAGCTCACTATACAATGAGTTTCAGCAGCCCAAGGTTAGGAGGAAGTACTTGCTCTCCAAGCTTATATACAGAGAAACATAGGAACAGGAGTAGGCCATTCAGCCCCTTGAGCCTGTTCCGCCATTCTATAAAGATTATGGCTGATCTGGACCATAACTTGCCTGTACCGATTGGCACCTGTGAAACTTATCCCCAAGGCGGAAAAGCTTCTTTGGGAGAGGGGTAATTAAACATTGTGATTGGCACAAATAATGCATCCTCAGTCTGGGGCGCGGCTCTGTGAGCCTCTGGCGCTGAACTTCATCTTATATTTCATTAGTTTTAATTGGAATCTGCTCCTTCCCCTTCCCTCTCCTTTCCTGCACTCAGGGCGCTTGGTGCGAGGAGTTTGAGAGCACAATGGACTGTGTGGGGACAACACATCACCGGGTAGTGGAGAATCAGCAGAAGCTACGGCTGCAGGTTGGTGACAGATATTGTTCAGAAAGAATCTTAGTAACAATATTAATGATAATAATCCTTCCGTTTGAAGGAGAAGAGCTTCATCGCGTTGTTGAGACGTCTCAAAGTGCTTCACAGGATATACTGTACAGCATTTTGAGCTCTTTAGTCACACACCGACTGCGGTGAAGACAGGGGAAGCAAGTGCAATCTTTATCATTCCTCTGCCAATTGCCCCCCCCATCGTGCTCACCCTCAGCCACGGCTGACCCTGTGAGAGAGCTCAAACAGTCCAGTGCTAGTTACATCTGTGCTCATTAACTCTGTGCGTCTGTGAACATAGCTGAAAGAAGCAGGAGACCTGGCTCATCACAGCTTGGCTCAGCTCCAAGCACTGAATAGAAGAGCCCAGGCTGCCCTGGAGGAGCAAGCGGCGCTGAGGAGTCAAGCAGAAGAAACTGAGTACCAACGTGATACTGTGAGTGCCACTGTCCTATAGGTGCGTGTGTCTGTGTGCATGCACGTGCGTGTGGGGGATGTTAATCTCTTGGGGAGTCCTAAGCTCATGGCTAACCAAAATAACATTTACTATTGTTACGACTCAACTGTATGATTTGAGATATTTTGCCATAAATCTCCCTTTTTTAAAAAAAAATCTGACGTCATTTTCTGTGAGAAATATTGGCAGGTTTGGGTGTGAGCTGTGTGGGGACTGTGTGAGCTGTGTATGGGTGGGGGCTGTATGAGCTGTGTATGGGTGGGGGCTGTGGTTAGCAGGGCCTGAGCTGGCTGGGTATGGGCAGGCGCTGTGGGTACTCTTTTCTCGCTTATCAATGTCAGATAAAAATCCTACTTTGCCTCCCAGGTACAACAGAAGCTGGATCACACTGCGAAAGAGCTCGGGAATGCGCAGGAGCAACTTCTTTGGCTGAGCTCTGAGAAACTCCAGCTCCAATCTGGTACGTGTATCTCAACTCCAACGCCAGGTTGTGTTTAATCCCTTTACAGTGTGTTCCCTGGGAGAGGCAACCCAACATGTTGACATTTATTACTTTTTCAAGATTTCTCTTTTAAATTCTCGGTTTGTGTTTTCCTTCAGTTCTTTGCTCTCGAACAGAAACGTTGAGCCTAGAAGGAAGTCATTCCGCCCATAGTTTTGTCCTTGTTCTACCTCCTCCCACTGGAGCTCCCTGCTCTAATCCCGTTGACCTGCTTTTTCCTGGCCTATGGTTCTGTTCCAGGCAGACAGCAGGACACATTGTGCATAGAGTCAGATCCGTATTGTAATTGTGCTGTGCAGACACTTGGAATGTACTGAAACTATTACAGTAGTTAGGAGATACAGTGCATGATGTATATCTATAGTCAAGGACCAAGGATTTGTCGTGTATTTTAGCAATGTGTTGCCATCTGCCGTGTTTTGGCGCACGGTAGGCTAATCCCTTGTTGGCCTGTTTCAGAATTGCAGACCAGGAGTGACCAGCTGACTGAGCTGGGGGTAGAGAGGGACAAGCTGATGAATGGCAACGCCAAGTACTTTGTGGAAGTGGCAACAACCGAGGCCTCGCTCAAACTGCTTGAGGTCACTTTAGCCGAGATGACAGAAAAGTGAGTTTAATGCTTTATCCCAAAAAGTGAAGCACAATCCTGGTGCTACAACAGCAGCTTGTATTTATATAGCTCTCCTCGTGCTGGGTAACGTCCTTAACAGTGACGGAGCACGCCGCCGAGCTGAGGGGAGGGGTGAGGTGACCTTAGGCACGGTCGAAGAGGAAGGTCTTCAGATTCAATCCAAAGATGGGGAAGGTGGAGGGAGAGAGTTCCAGAGTTTTGGGGTGTAGTGGCTGAAAGCACGACCACCGATGGTGGAACAAGTGACATGCAGGAGGCCGGGGCCAATTAAGTGGAGGCAGTGGGTAGTGGGGCATAAAACATAATTTCTGTTTGAACAAGTGGGTTTCCTTTTATTTATTGATTTTAGCGTTAAATTCTACTTGTGACAAGGTGAGGGGTGTCAGTGCTGGGAAATAGGAACACTTTCTCATTGAGTGCCCCTTTGCACTAACTCACTCATGTACTTGAGCCAAAACTCAAAAGAACACCCTCACTGCGCCAGTGTTTATTTTTCAGCCCATGCCAGTCAGCGAATTGGCAATTTATGTTAAATTAGACTTTCTGATCATTGATAATCTCTCCAAGCGAGATGTAATGGTTTCCAGCTTGGTTCTGTTCTTTTATTGCCCACCACAGTCCCTGAGCCAGAACATAAATCTTTAAAAGGATGCATTCAGGAAGCATTCTGTCATTTTGACATAAAAAATGCAAGCACTGTTCTTCTGTGTTAGTATGAATGTTTTTCTTTAGGTTGCAGGCTTCTGAGGCACACAACAAAGAGCTTGAGGACACTATAAAGGAGAACACACAAAGGTAATACTGATCGGTTTGGGGGAAAGGAGGGAAAATAGTAATAATGATCCTTGCATTTGATATAGCATCTTATCACATCTTCGAGACGTCTCAAAGTGCTTCACCGATTCATTTGTATTCTTACCTGCTTTAAATCTTCACTTCCTGTGTACAAGGTTGTTGCAACAAGAGATGACCTTTCTTGTCAATGTAAAATGGACTAAAAGTAGTCTTCCTAGTGACTTGGATGTCCTAGGGTGCAGGAGACCATAAGCCTTGGGGTTCACGACGGTCTAACTGTTTGGGGAGTGGTCATTATAAATGGGGACATTGCCAGAGCGAAACTTCTGACAATGTGATAGTTACCATATTGAGTACATGCCTGTATGTGACTGTGCACATCTCTGTGCCTTGCCCCCACAGCTGGGAGCAAACTCTGAGCAGCCTGAAGCAGGAAAAGGAATCCGGGGAACGCCTTGTCTTGGAGTACCAAGAGCAGCTGGCGCTCTTCGGGGAGACGCTGAGAGAGAGCCAGAAGAAGCTGTACGAGCTCTCTGAGGTGCAGGCACAGTTCACCATCCTCTCCGAAAATACTGAGGTAAGTGCAGAGACAGAGCCCTGACTGCAACCTCCCAATCGCATCATAACCATTAACCATAACCAGAATGATTCATTTCCCCCCCACCGCCCAACAAAAGACAAGCTTCCATTTTGTAACCCTCAAAATCCCTTCACCTTGCACTTTCTCCCTCTTTGCGTCTTTAAAAACCTAAATCGCTTCTTTAAAAACCTACCCCTGACCGCGCTTCACATCTACTGTCCCCGAATCTCTCATCTTGCTTAAGCTTGTCTCTGAAGTGCTTCAAGGCACTTAGTGAAAGTGCACAGCTTCAGTGGAGAGGCCTTTCACTGAATAAGGAAAGCTGCTGCAAAAGTATTTTTCTGTAACTTTTTTTAAAAACTCTGCTGGAATATTTCACAAACCTATTGTATGATTTCTAATCCTCCTTCCTCTGATATCTTGGTTGCTGGGATAGCAGTCATGAGGGCAGGGAGAGGGAGTTGCTAGGAAGGCGTGGGGGAGGAGAATACTGGACAATCTGGGTATGAATGTTGTCTCTTGGATGCAAATGTGGAGAGAGGGAAAACAACTTCCAAGTGTTGGAAGGAATATGTTGAAACATTTTTAAGTAGGAAAAACTGAACCCAAACGCTGCACTTTGTGCAATCTCTTATTAAAATTATTCTCTCCTTTTTTTTTCTCCCCCCCCCACCCCCTTCAAGATTCTCGTTTATGTCATTCAGATAACATTTTTAAACAAAATAGACACAGAAGACTTCAAAGTCTCAAGGCTCATCAGTTTATAACTGAATTCTCAGCTTTGTTTCTCCACTCCTCTCTCTCTGTGTCTCTCTCTCTCCTCCTCACTGTCCTGAAGGATGGAGTCAGTCGTGTCATTTTTAGACTGACCTACTTTACCTGAACTCCGGAGAGAGCCTTGTCAGGGAAATTGGGTCGTTTTCCAATTATCAACCGAAGATCAGAGGACATAGAAGTTTGTGTCCTTTCTCATTAAATTGGCTTCCCTTCCATCCCCACCGTAACACCAAGCTCCCAAGTGCTCAGTCTGATCTATGCAAACTCTTGCCTTCAGATAGTCCTTCCATTTGACCACAATTACCTGTGAAGCGGTTTGACGTTTTGATGCTACAGGAGCTATATCAATGAATATTTTGAAGTTGAGCCATTTTCTGTGTTTGCTCCTAGTTTATGGAGCAGGAGGTGAAGCTATCGCACGAGCAGCTGAAGGAAACAGAAGCGAATCTGAGGTCTCAGGTGGATTTGCTGCACAGCCGGGAACTGGAGTGTAAGGAACTGCGGTGAGTACAGTCCTAGTCACTCTGGGATCACACCGCTTGCTAGCTTGGCTCTACCTTTAAGACTCCTCATCTTGCACCCGGCAGAATAAGGGTAAGAGAGGTGTGGAGGTTCTCTGTGACAAAGGCTTTGGCAGTAGCCTTGTTTGCTTCATTCAGCATGTTTGGTTAGTTAGTTATTTGAACTGCTCACCCCACCCCATGTTCGGTATCCCGATGCACCATTAAATGTTCTCCCCCTTAACCAGGACTGAACAGAACAGCCTGCGATTGAAGTTGGAGACGGTCAAGCAAAACGCAAGGCTGATGTGCCAGGCCCTGATGCAGGTTTCGGCTCTGAAAGACCGGGTGCAAGCTTTCACCCAAGCCACCGAGGCTGCTTTGCAGAGTCAACAGGTAATGCATGCTTCAGGCATTTGTCATGGGTGCTCAGAAAGTAACATGTAGCTTACAGAATGCCCTCCCTGGCAAGTAAAAGCAGAGTCCATTGTTGGTTTTAACAGGGAAGTGGATGAGTAAATGGAAGGTAAAGACCTGAGCCAGGCTGACACCTAACAGGATGTGGTGCGTGTGTGACTGTCTATTCTTTCTATTGAAGAGTCAATCAGGAGCAGCACATGACCAATCGAACCTGGTGAACTTGTCACTTGTTTGTGAAGTTCTTCAGGCAGCAGCAAAGAGACCAGACCCTGAGGAGAATGAACCCAATAAAGGTAACTCCTTCCATGCTGTTTCACTGCTGGATCTCTGTTCTTTCTGATAACTTGTGTTTGTGGCCGAGGGGTGGTGGAGGTGATGGTGAGACTGAACTGTTTTGGGGCTATAGTGTTCTCTGGTGTGAGGTTCCTAATGTATTCATTGTGTTTATTATTATTGTTGTTGTGTTTGCCTTCCAGACCATGAAAGAGATGCCTCTTGTAGCTTTAAAAGCCATAAGAGTGTGTTTGCTCCCATTGAGCCAGCCACGCCACTGAAACTGGGTAAGGAGCACCGTGTGGCGAAAGCTAGTGACAGTCACTGCTGCCGATCTTGTGTGTGGTAACCTGTTAGCCATGTGTTCTCTTCCATGTTCTCTCTCTTTCTCCCTGCGTGCTCTCTAGACAATGTGGACACTTGGCTGCGGAGAGTGGAAGACCTGGGGGAGGCTGTGTCAGATCTCCTCGATGTAGCCTCGCGTAGAGAGAGAGGGTACCACCAACAGGCACAAAAACTGCTACAGGAAATGTAAGTGCTTCCCCCAACCACCACCCCAGAGCTGGAGCAAGCCTGGCTCCTTTCGATCACTGTGCTCCCGTCAGCGTGGTGTGCATGTCAGACCTCACCATCCATCCATTTGGCTTTTCCTTAGCGCTGATATGAAGGCCCAGAGAAAGGCCATGCTCTTGAATTGCGATACTCTGACGGACAAGCTCACAGACCTGAAGATCCAAAACAAGAGGCTGAGCCAAGACCTGGAGAGACAGGATAAGGTAAGAACATCTACATTCCCCATATAGAGCCGAATGACAACTCTGAAGGATACTTGGTGGTGGGGGGGGGGAGAGAGAAGCAACATTCCACATCCCAACAACTATATCTTTATCCTCTTGTCACTGACCACCCCCCCACCACCAGTGGAAATAGCTTCTATTTATATAGGGAGTTTATCTATTTGTCACGTAGAAACCTAGCTGCCAATTTTTGACAGCGAGCCCATACCCAGTGAGAAAACAAACAACCGAGGAAGAAAAAATGAGCAAGATTGGTTGCTTCTTGGCTGGTGCAGTGCAGTAGTACACGTGGGCCTCTATCTGGCACAGAGGAACGGAATATTGTCAGGAAAGATCAGTTCAAATGGGAGTTGACGGAACAGTTCAGGCTACTGGGTCCATGCTGCTCACGCTGCTTATGCTGCAGGTTTTCTACAAAGCTCTCACATTTCGAGATGAATTCAGAAATGTGGATAGTTTATAGCACAGGAGATGGGCTCTCAGCCTGGTGTTGTCTCTCTCGCTGGAGCTATTTACTCTGCTCTTCTGTTCGCTTTTAATGCACTGTCCAGGCTAACAGGAGGGAGATCTGGTCTGGCGAACCAGAATTTCTGGCTAAGTGTAATTGCAATGCTGGTTACCGGCATTGCGACTGTTTGAATCCCGCAAACAGAAGATCGTGAATTAAGCAATTTTTCTGCTCACGGGATTCAAGCCATCTGATGTCGTAACTGGTCACTGAAGGCCATCAAGGACGGTGAGACAGCTCAGTGCATTGTGCTGGATAGATGTTTGTTAGGTCAGAATATCAAGGGATATGGGGCAAGGCCAGATAATTGGAATTGAGGTACAGATCAGCCATGATCTTATAGAATGCCGGAACAGGCTTGAGGGGTTGAATGGCCTCCCCCTGTTTGTATGTGCAGTGGAGCGCACTGGCAGAGCTGGGAGTCGGGCCCGCAGAAATTTTCTAAAGATTTTGAGTTTCTGGCTTGTTCCGGCTAGGTTTAAACTCTGGATTCCTGGTGTGCCTCTGAATAATTAATTCCCTTGAATGCTGTTCTGGACTCTATTTCAGTTGTTTAAGTTAGACATTTTGTGCGTGCGTAACAAATTCTAACCGCTCCCTCTGACAGACTAACCAAAATCTGGAGAAAACTATAGCATCTCAGGACGACAACATCCTTTATCTCCATAAGCAAATGGAAACCAACTTCAAGGAGCACGGGGTGGTTCTGGTAAGACTAAGATTCATCTGTCTCCACACCTGTGGCAGGGATCAAGCCAGACACTACCCTTCCACCTAGATCCAGTCCAGGCTGCTGAGAGGTCCATCTCCTGTCTCTAACAGCGTGGTTCAAGGAGTTTAAACAATCTCCTTCTTGTTCCCAGTGTACATCTTCCTAATAACAATTGAAATGGCAGCCTCACCAATGGCCTAGAGCAGGGTTATTCAAACTTTGTAATCGTGAGTCTCCCTAAGCTAAGAAGGAAAAAAACTACAGCGCTTCCCCATAGTTTACTAAAGCAAAATAATGAACTGAAAATTACTGAGAAAGTATATGAGTAATAATGGGCTTTGAATGAGGTACAGGAGGGTCGTGCCCATGATATCATTAGTGCTTTCTCATCTCTCTTACTATTTCTCCCTCTGCCCTCTACACACGTGCGCGAACACATACATACATACATACATACATACATACACACACACACTCTCTTTTGAAGGAAACTGGGGCAAATACTTTCAGGAGAAAATTAGTGAGAAGAGCAAGTTATGAAAAGCAATCATTGAAAAATTGGCAGCTTCACTCAGCACAGCTGCTGTGGTGCGTTGGGGGATACGGTTGGCCCAGGGTTAATTAGAGACCGTATAGGTGATGTGTTGCTTTGCAACTGATTTGCTCCATCCGTCAGCTGGGTGTGTGTGGTGCTACCACTGGGGTCGGGAAGGATAACCCTCATTCCCCCTGAGCCATCATACAGTTTTATTTAAACAGCAAGTGCTAATGATCTCAACCCTGGGTGTCGGCTAGGGGCAGGTCGAGCCTGGTGATATGGGAGCCTGGGTACTTCATCCCACCTATAAATGTTGCCTATATTAGTTGTGTCCCTGGGCTAGTCCAACCACATCAATTATGCAGGAATATTAAAGAAACCTTTGGGAATCGTTGACCTTCCTTTCTACCCCCCACCCCTTTTCCATTTGCTCTCAGCAATTTTATATAGTGCCCTTCACATCAGAAAGATGTCCTAGGGTGCTGGATAGTCGGGTTTTTGGCCCTGGGCTAGGAGTTGGGGAGCTGGGAGTTACCACCCTGACATAGACTAACCCTTGTTAATCAGGCTCGTACATGGAGCATAACCGCTTAGGTGAGGGCCCATCGTAGGCTCCTTTTGGTGCTGGAGATTACCTGGCACCAAAGGGAGCCTTCCCCAATGTGAGTCAATGTCGTCGGGAGACNAAAACAATACAAATTACAGGGGTAAGTGAGCTGGTGTCCGGTTTACGCCGCAGGCCTTGCAGGACGAGGTGATGGAGCTGAAGCGCTCGCTCCAACGTGCTCAGGTCGAGACGGACACATTCCGTGAGGAGATGATCAAACTCCGAGAGTCCGGGTCAGCTGCAGACATCGACTGGCTGCAAGAGAAAGTGGAGCTTCGGCATCAGGTGGGACGTTGGCTGTCTCGTCCTGCCTACCTTCCAGTGCCTCAGTGCTTAATAATAATAATAATCCTTGCATTTGATATAGCGCCTTATCACGTCTTCAATACGTCTAAAAGCGCTTCACAGAATATACTGTAAAGTGGATTGACTATATATTTTTGTGGGCGAAATGCGGCAGCCAATTGTGCACAGGAGTGTTCCACAAACAGCTGTGGATTGAGTGACCAAATTATTATTTGTTTATTTTTTGAAGGGTTTATTACCCCCGGAAAAGTGAGTTGGCCAGAGGCGTGTGTGTGTGGAGTAAGGACACTTGTCCAACCTTTCGCCCTATCTGGGAATCGAACCCAGACCCTCTCGCCTACGAGGCTAATGCTCTAACGACTACAGGACAAGTGCTCACAGTAATGAGTTACTTTGAACTTTCGTGACTATGCTGTAAATCGATGCGGCAGCTAATCTGCTTCAGCAATGTGTCTTAAACAGTAGGTTTCAATAGGAAAAGTAAAGAATCAGAGCTACATCAGAACTTCCAGCCTCCCAACCCCCAGGTGGAAGTGAATCGGGACACCTCCTGGCGGTCACTGTCTGACATTTATCTCTTCTGTCAGGTGAGAAAGCTGAGAGACCGAGTCCTGCAATACGAGAACACTGTCCAGCAGATGAGCAGACACGTGAGTAATAATAATCCTTGCATTTGATATAACTCTTTATCATGTCTTCAGTGCGTCTCAGAATATACTGTGAAGTGACTGTATATTTTGTGGAAGAAAAGAGTTGTCTCTTCCAGGCTGAGTGCTCAGATAAGAACAAACAGTGAAAGTGACCGTTAGGGCCATTGTATCTTCATTACGCGTGTAATTCCAGACCAGCTCAGAGGCCTGAATTCCACCTAGTTTTAGCCTGTAAGACCATTGTGATTTAAGTTACAATTACACAGAACAGTGGAAAATTCTTATTTTTATCTCCTGAATGCCAGAATTACCTACTTTTTACAGAACTGCAGCAAACCAGCTTCAAAATTAAGCTTCATACAAAAAAATCCACAATTCTAATACTGTAATCCTCCCTTCAATTTGATTTAACGCTATATCGTCAATGTCTCAAAAGCAATTCACTGAAAAGTGTAGTTCAATTTGCACTCACAAACAGCCATGAAGTGAATGACCAATTTTATCTGTAGGATTATCATCCAGCATACTGGGAGAACTTCTTCTGCGCCATTTTAAGCTCAAATTATCTTCCAGAATAGGTGGAATTTTAGGAGACTCGTGCTGATAGTGATGCTTCTCTGTATCTCTGCTTTCAGAGGAACACCCTAGAGGAGAATAGTCGGAAGGGGGAGAGAGAATTGGCTATCCTGGACAACCTCATTGAGAACATCAGAACGGTGAGTCATTGGTTTGAGAGAAGAGAATGGACGGGGCTTTGCATTATAGGGTTTGATTTGGGGGGATTTGCTTCAATTCCTTGTATTGGAGTGTTAACAATAAAACACTTGCATTTTGATAGTTCCGTTCACACACAGAGTAGAGTCTCGGAGCACTGCACAACGGCAGGGTGGTCTCTATGAAGCTGTGGGGCTTAACCCCACAATTCTTTGATGCTGAGATGAAAGTGCTACTAACTGAGCCAGGCTGACACCTAAACGCACAGGATAGGTGGGGGTCCATTAGCGCCGATGAATCCTATCCCTGGGTCTTGTCTGGGTGAAGCTACCGTGGGACAGCAAGGTGCCCAATAAGGCTGGCAAATCTTAGCCTATAGCACAGAAGGCGAGTAAAAGTCTGGTGCCTGAGCTCCGCAACCCAATGACAAATTCTGGCATTAAGATGTGCATCGCCGTGGGGAGCGAGTGGGATATGAGAATTTACAGAATTGAATGAGGCCTGAATACCTACTTTCAAAAATAGCATTCAATTAAAACACTTTTATTGCCTGATATTGGACAGAGGCTATGCGGTTTCCCATCTCGGCCAGCCAAAGCACAGCACTCGCTTCCCTGTTTTAAAATAAAAGCGCAGATGGTGAGAGTTCAGTTCCTTGGTGGCCTTCGTATTAAATAGGGGGAGGATAGGGCCCTCTGCGGGTGCTTTACAATGGAGGAGTTCTGATTGCAAATTGACCCGGGTCAGGAACTTTATACCATAAGATTCCGGACTGTGTTACTGGGCAGTAATCCAGTCAAGAGGTTATCTCCACAGTTATTGGGAAAACTTGATGGGATCGGGTTCAGAACCGGATGAAGTCTGGCTGGTCAGTTTCTTTCCGTCACAGAAACACAGGAACAGGAGGAGGCCATTCAGCCCCTCGAGTCTGTTCCACCATTCTATTTGATCATGGCTGATCTGTACCTCAACTCCAATTACTCGCCCTTGTCCCATATCCCTTGATACCCTGACCCAACAAATATCTAACCACCGTCCCCCTTTTTAGATTTAATGTCCCTTTTAAAGCAATTGGCTACATCTGAGACCTCCCCCCTCCTTTGCTCAGTCTCCAGCTGCCCCTGATCGCTCCTCCACCTGCTGAGTTTAATTGGCACAGAAATCTGAGCGAGATATACCTTGGTCTAATTTGAGGTATTTCTTTAATAGGAAAATCCAAGTTGTACAAATTACTCCACCAACCAGAAGTGCATCATGCTGGCTCACGGGAACTCTGCTCCCGCCAGAGCAGAGTTCCCACAGGCTGATGGAAGTTCTAATGCTCTAACCTTATTATGGAATTCCATTAAGCATTGCAGGGTTATAGTGTGGACAGGAACCCAAATGTCTTTGAAACCTGTAACTCTCTTGTGTTTCAGACTCTCCTGTCGATTCCTCACACCGTGGCTGGCTCTCAGGAGCTGAAGAGCCTCCTGCACTTGCTGGGAGAAGACTAGAGTGAACGATGTGTGAATGGGTATAACTTTGGGGGCTGCTTTGTTAACTACTCTGGGTCCATTGGTTACTATTGAATGGTCTATGTTCAAGAGCAAGGCTGCTCACTGGATTAGGTGTTGGGTCAGGGGCCTGCCCGCTACGTTTCTTGTGGAGGTGGGTGGGGGGGGGATTATTTTGTTTTGAATATAAATTAAAAACTATTTTTAACATGCATTGTGTTTTTTTTTTAAAAAAACAATTGCTATTTGGGTAAACGGTTTGACCGGCTTTTAAATCGCCTCATGTATTCATTCATTCACGCTGCATCTATTAAAATGAAAGCCTGCCTCCCCAATGGCTTATTCGGTAAATCCACCAGCAACATTCAGAACTAAAACGTTCCCTGTTTATTCCCCACTCATGCCGATTTCTTTTTAGCCAAGACACTAACTCAGCAGACTAGGGAATTGTTGGTATTGTTTTCTGTGGCTGCTCTGCCAACAGTTTAGTGATTTGCTGTGATTCTATAAAACGTCCATAATTATTGGAGAAGCTTTTAACAACTGCCGCTATTTAGTGCCTTTCACCCGAGAAGACCTCTCGCAATGCTTAATAATAATAATAATTATCCTTGCATTTGATGGAGCACCTCATCACGTCTTCGAGATGTCTCAAAGCACTTCATAGAATATATTGAGTGTATTTTGCAGGTGAAATGTGGCAGCCAATTGCACACAGCAGTATCCCACTAACAGTTGTGGATTGAGTGATCAAATTTTTTGTGTGTTTGGCGGAGGGGGAAAGCGATCTGAGACTACTTCTCAAAGATCTGAGTGGTACCCGAATGGTGTGCATGATGTGGGTTGGGGGGGGGTGTGAGGTAGGCGAGTCAGAGCGGTGAATAAAAAAAAGTTATACAAATGCTATCTCTCATCTTCTTATAGAAATTGATGCTTTCAATATGGGCTCTTTTTTTAAAACCCAGTGAAATGAATGTATTGAAATTGTAAAATGAATCTGTACAGCTTTCCGCCTGCCATACAATCTCTACGGCCCTCATTTAATTATGCATCATTCAATCCTCTAATCGCATCTGCTATTTATAGTTCCAGCGTGCATCCCTTTATCTTTCTGAGTGCTGTATTACACCTTGTGGTTCCTCATGGATTTTGTGGGTGAAACGCGGCAGTCATTTTGCTCACAGCCATGTCCCGTAGACAACTTTTTTGGGGGGGGCGGATTGTTGACGAGGACGTCAGGACTTCTCTTCACAAATAGTGTTATGAGATCTTTAACATCCACCTGAACAGGCAGACAGGCCTCAGTTTGTCTTAACCTAAGGGCGCCACCTCCGACATCGTAGCGCATCCATTACTGCGTTGGAGTGTCAGTTTAGACTATATGAGTTCTAAATCTTAGTGCCCAACCTTCGGACTCGGAGGCGAGAGTGGTACCTACCAATTGATCCAGGCTGACACGCAATGATTTTGAAGTTCATTCTTTTTGTGAAATGCTTACCTTCGCAGAAAGTACAGAGCGATCCTCTTAATAATTAATCTTCCCCACTCAACCTCATGATAGAGATGGGTGTAGTTGAAGCCGAGTATTGCAGTCTGAGCCAGGCATCCACTAGCGCATCGACTGATGATTTACAGTCTGATCAACAATCAGAAATTACCACACAAGAGTGACTGAAAGAATCTGAATTATTCTTACGACTGTCTGAAAGCTTAATCAGAGCTAAATTCAGGCTGAGGAGATCTTGCCCGAGACATTTTGTTTCCGTAGATGGAAAGTGGAATTCAAGAAAAACACATTACAAGGAATGTTCAGCGCAGAAACGGGTCACTCGGCCCAACCAGTCCGTGACGCTGTTTATACTCCACACGAGTCTCCGCCCTTTACTCCCTCCCACACCTTCTATTCCCCTCTCCCTCACGTGAAGGCGAATGCCTCTCCGCCATCTGCTTCAACCACTGCTTCCGGCAGCGAGTTCCGCAATCTCACTGTGTGTAGTAGTTTCTGCTAAATTCTCTTCCGATCCCCAAGTCGTTGCCATCTTGCATTTTTGTGTCTGGGGCTACTGACTCCGCAACTGGGGGGACAACCTATTTACGCTATTTGTGTGTGTGTGTGTGTGTGTGTGTGGATGGATGGTGTGGATGGGGGCCGGATTCTCCCAGGGATTGTGTGTGTGTGTGTCTGTGTGTGTGTGTGGATAATAGTAATAATCCCGGCATTTGATACAGCGCCTTATCACGTCTTCGAGACGTCTCAAAGCGCTTCGCAGGAAACACTGTAAAGTGAATTGACTGTATATTTTGTGAGTGAAACCCGGCAGTCAATTGCGCACAGTGCCGTCACACAAACAGCCGTGGGTTGAGATGTACAGAACTCTTCTCGAGGACAGTGTGTGGATGGATGGGATTGTGTGTGTGTGTGTGCGTATGGATGGGACTGTGTGTGTGTGTGTGTATGTGTGCAGGATGCTCCCTGGTTGTGTGTGTGTGGGGGTGTGTGTGTGGGGGTGTGTGTGGGTGTGTGTGTGTGTGTGTGGGGGTGTGTGTGTGTGTGTGTGGGGGTGGGGGGGGATGATGCTCCCTCTGGCCGCTGGGCTGCGGTGCGGTGCGGTGGGGGCGGTGCGGTGCGGGGGGGGTGCGGGGGGGGGGGGGCGGTGACGCCGCTCCGGGTGGGGGTTGGCTCTCAGTCACGTAGCTCTGCGGCATCACAATTGACTTTATTTAACGGGAGGCGGAGGGGAGGAAACCCGCATTGACATAGCGGAGCCGCAGCTGGAGAGCCGCAGCCGCAACCCACCCACCCACCGCCAGACAGACAGACAGACCCACCGACCCCCCGACCGACAGACAGACCGCACCCGCGGTGAGAGGTGAGAGAGGGGCGGAGGGGCACCGGGACGGGGGCACAGAGGTGTAGTCCGGTTTCAGTGGTTACGGTTTGTGACAGAGATCACATCTCAGCCCCAAACCTCATCTCATCTCATCTTTTTTTTTTGAACTGACAATTAATTTATTGTCGTTGACTTATCATCACCGCCATCACCGCCATCACCACCGTCATCGTCTTCGGTACCGCGTCTCATCCTCGCCTTCGAGACGTCTCGGACGGGGGATTAATCCGCTCGGAGAGACTGCGTCGTTTGCGGGGGAGGGAGGGGGCGGTGGGGTGGGGGGGGGGGGGGGGGGACGAGGCGGTTCGTGGGTTGCGGGGGGACCGGATCGCGGCATTAATTCTTAACTTCGATGTTATTTTAGCGAAATATATATGTCGATTTCACTAAAATGCGAAGGGCGGGTCTGACTCCCTGTGGGAGTGAGTGTGCGCGAGCGAACGAACGTGTGAGTGACCTGAAATGAAACGGACCATCGATTGTTTCACGGTCAAGTGGATGTTCTCCGGCATTTCCCTCTCTCTCTCTCTCGCTCTCTCTCTCGCTCTCTCGGTCGCTGCCGGTTGTGTTTGAAAGCAGTTATTTTGTTGGAGTTTGTTGGATTTGTGCCCCGCTGCGTCATCGAGAGAGAGAGAGAGAGAGCGAGGGGTCGGGGGTGGGGGGGGGGGGGGTGCGGGGGTGAAATAACAGCGACTGTACACAGAAGATCATCAGTCTGATAGTCAGTCAGACAGTCAGACGGACAGATAGACAGACACACGCATGATGCACTTGCATCAAGTCTCACCTCTGTTTACCCGCCAGCAACAACGTGCGTTTATATAACGGCTATCACGCAGCGCAGCTTACTCGGATGCTTAACAGTGACGGAGCTTGACGCCAGGCTGGCTGAGCCGGGTGTGGGGGGGGGGGGGGTGGAGGGAGAGAATGAACTGACCTTAAGCATGGTCAAAGAGGAAGGTCGTTAGTCATGATCTAAAAGAGGGGAAGGTGGGGGCCAGGTGGAGGGATTGAGACAGAGAGAGAGAGAGAGAGTTCCACGAAGCTTTGGGTGTGGGGGGGGGGGGGGGGGGGAGCTGAAAGCACGACCACAGCTGGTGGAGGGGTCGAGGGACAAGCAGGAGGCCAGAGCCACTCGGGAAGCAGGATTTTCCGAAAGTGGTGAACGCTGCTTTGCTGATCCATATTGTGTGCGCGTGTGTGTGCGCGCGTGCATGTGTGCGCGCGTGTGTGTGTGCGTGTGTGTGTGTGCACGCTCCCTCCTCCCGGCTCGGTATCAGGCTCTGCCGCTGTGAAGCGCTTTGAGATGCCGTCCGGCATGAAGGGCGCTAACGTAAATGCAAGTTGTTGTTGTGGTTGTTGTTGCTGTTGCTCGTGGGAGCACAGATCAGGCAGTGAGATGATCATGTTCAACATGCGTTCCTGCAGACTCCAGCCCAGCACCACAGACTCAGGGCTGTGAGTGTGAAGGAACATCCTTTTCGCACTCCCAGGTCAGATATCGCACTGGTTAGGTACAGAGCAAAGCTCCCTCTACACTGTCCGTTCACTCTCCCAGGTCAGGTAAAGCACAGGTTAGGGACAGAGTACACTCGCCACCCAGGACTCTCAGGTCTGGTACAGTGTTGGGGTTGCAATGTCTCTGAGACTTGTCTAGTAAAGCCAGGTTTGCAGTGATCCAAGGCATTGTTGGTAGGCTGACCAGCCTGTCTGACTCATCAAAGAGACTTAGAGGTGTAGCGTTGCACTCAGCATTGCAAGCCAAAGCCTTGACAGGTAGCCAGCCCTCACAGCTGTGAAATGTACCAGCGCTTTTACCGATGAGCTGTGTAATTCTTACACATTTCCCAGATTGGGTACAGAACTAAGCTCCCTTTAAACTGTCCCATCCAACAATCCCATTCCTGGGACTCCACCACCAAGGCTCATGGCTTGTTTGTGTGTTTGTATGAACACGTGTGTAAAAACAGGGGAACCTCAACAACAATTACCTGTGTTTTTACTTCACAAAGTACCAGACCTGGGAGTGCTGGGTGGGCAGAGTGACGAGGGCTTCACTTAATCTCTAAAGCCATGTTTTACCTTGAATTAGTTTGCAAAGATGGTGCCAGTCACCGGGCAGTGAGGATGACTCTCTTACTCTTTCTGTCCACCTCTCTCTTGCTCGCTCGCTCACTCTCGTCTGTCTAGTTTCCTCTCTGTATCGTTCATCCCCTCTCCTTTTCTCTTTCTGTCTCGTGCTGCCTTTATCTGTCTGTTTTCTCAAGCCTCTGTGCGGGCTTTTTTGTGTCCCTGGCAAATTTTGGCGAGTGCTGATTTCCAGGACCCTGTTGGGTGATCCCTGGGGGTGAGCGGGGTGGGGGCAGAGCAAATGGGGCCTGAAGGTGGGATTGGATGGTCAGATCAGATCAGATAGACGCTGCTTGAGTCCCTCGAGGAAGTTGAGCTTCGCATCAGTTTTCCGGTTGGGAGTCTTACACTTTTTGATCCGCTGCTCATATTCCTCACCTGTTCTAGACCACAGATGAGCTTTTAACTGCTCTCTTTTAGCTCCATTATGGACTCTCTACTTTGCCCCATCTCTCCCATTTTCAAACCTGCCTTAAGATCTATCTTTCTCACTGTTCTTTTGCCCTCTCTTCCTTTTCCCCCAAAGCTTGATCTCCCACTCGCTCGTATCCGGCATTTTAAGAACGTCCTCCCAACGTGGAAAAGCAATATTTATTCACACGTATGTTAATAGTTATGATTGCGCCACGCACACGCAAACACAGACACGCACACAAACACACACACACACTCATAAGTTGAGCACTCCCCTGAATGAAAACAAAAAAAGGGTCATACACCTCTTGGCTGTGGTGCAGAGAGGAGAGAATTATTTGGTATGTGTGTGTGAGGAGGGGGGGAAGGGGGCGGAATGCTGTGAGAGAGAGAGAGAGAGAGAGAGAGATGTGAATATGACTGTGTGATGGACACCAGTCCTCTCTTCCAGCTTTGAATTGAAAGATGACGCACCAATATCCCGCGCTCAGTCCTGACCAGAAGAGGGAACTCTCCGAGATTGCCTTGCGGATTGTTGCTCCAGGGAAGGGCATCCTGGCCGCAGATGAGTCTGTGGGTGAGTAACTGTCAATCAGACGCTTGGGAGCTGCGGACAGTGCTTTGGGGTGGGTGGGGAGGGAAGCGTTGGCTCTGAATGGACATCATGGCGCAGATTGACTGCTCCGCGTTTCTCTACGCAGTAAACGTTCCCTTTCATCTCTGATTCATGAAATTCTGTCGAGTCCCTATTCCCGAGTGAAGAATAGTATTCGAGAAGAGAAGGGGAGTTTCCCCCCCCCCCACTCCTCCCTCCCCCGCCCCTCATACCCCAAGGCCAACAATCCTCCAGATACATTAGCCGTTTGCCGACAGAAGTCGTCAAGAATTTCTGTCGAAGAGGCTTTGAGACTTTGCAAGGTTCTGAGTCACACTAATAAACTCAAGTGGTTTATATACCCCTCGTTCTGGGGGTAATTCTTTTAGAAGCAGAACCGAGGGGAAATCAGACACTGGTTTAAGTTAGACGTCGAGTTATCCCTGGTCGCTGGGAATGGGAGGTGAGGGGTTGGTCGGGTGTGTGGTGGGGAGACCCCTCTCGCTGTAAACATGGTCTCTCTCTCTGGCACAGGGAGCATGGCTAAGCGTTTTGCCCAGATCGGGGTGGAGAACAATGAGGAGATGAGGCGTCAGTACCGGCAGCTGCTGCTGACCGCTGACGATCGGGTCAAATCCTACCTCGGGGGCGTCATCTTCTTCCACGAGACCATGTACCAGAGCACGGACGATGGTGTCCCCTTCATCAACATCGTGAAGGAGCGAGGGATCGCTGCCGGGATCAAGGTCAGAGTCAGTCCGTCGGTCTGTGTATCTGTGTGTGTCCATGTCCGTGTGTCTCTCTCTTTCTCTGTCTGTCTGTGTCTGTCCACGTATCTCTCTTGTCTGTCTGTGTGTGTGTGTGTCTACTGGTGTCCAGTGTCATGCCTGTTATCCCGACCACTGACCTCCCCCCCCCCCACCCTCCCCGTTCTGTGTTGTTTACATGAGGCCCAACTGTCTGCCCAAGGCTCGTATCCGGGTAACTGGCAACTGGTTGTGTTTTTCAGGTTGACAAGGGTGTTGTTCCTTTGGCTGGAACCAATGGAGAGACCACAACTCAAGGTAGAGCATCTGAGCCATGTGTCGCTGAGCCTGACTGGAGAGCTGATTGTCCCAGATCTCAATGGGACCTGGTTTTCCAACGGATCCCAAACTCCCCACAATTTTATCCCAACGCTCTGTCCTGATTGACATCTCCTTTTGGATTTTCACGAAAGTCATTTTGCTTTCATTTCGACAGCCCCTCTCCCGTCAGACTTGAGACGCTTAAGGGTGATGGGGCAGTGAGCAGGGAGGGAGGGAGGGAGGGGAATGTGTTCAGCTCCAAGGAACCCCCCACTTCCCCCCTTCCCCCCCCCCCCCCAACAAGGAGGATAGGTATCACCCTCTAGAATCTCTGAGATGTTGCCCCATATGAAGGGCACAATGAAGGTCTGATTGACTGTCTGACTGACCCTGACTCTGCCCTACTGTGTCGTCCGTGTTCTGTGCTGTGTTGCAGGGCTGGATGGGCTCGCCGAGCGCTGTGCCCAGTACAAGAATGACGGCGCAGACTTTGCCAAGTGGCGCTGTGTCCTGAAGATCACCAATAGCACCCCGTCGTGTCTCGCCATCAAGGAGAATGCCAACGTCCTGGCTCGCTACGCCAGCATCTGCCAACAGGTACCCGCGGCCTGGCAAAGGGGTGGGGGGAGGGGAATGGGCGGGTGGGGAGAGACTTGATGTCTAATCAGTCATTCGGCCAGGACAGCAGTGATCCTGGTGGAGTTGACTTACTCTGCAGTGAATCTTGAGACGTTTTCCTGACCTAAAAGGCACTGCGTCAAAAACAATAAGTGAGGACGGTCGTCGAGTGAGTAAGAGGAGGGTTTGGGGGTGACTCCGGCTGCTCTGTGGTTGGGTTCCAGAGCCCGTCCTTGTCTCACCCTTGCTTTTGCCTGTCTCGGTTACAGAACGGAATCGTTCCCATTGTAGAGCCGGAGATCCTGCCAGACGGAGACCACGATCTGAAGCGTTGTCAGCACATTACTCAGAAGGTGATGTATCTCTGTATCTGTCTGTGTGTGTGTGTGTGTGTGTGTGTGTCTCTCTCGCTCTCTCTCTGTGCCTCTGTGTGTGTGTGTGTGTGTGTCTCTCTCTCTCTCTCTCTCTCTCTCTCTCTGAAGCTCTCTGTATCACTGTTATTTTCCAGGTGTTGGCAGCTGTGTATAAAGCCCTGCACGAGCACCACGTTTACCTGGAGGGCACGTTACTGAAGCCCAACATGGTGACCTGCGGCCACAGCTGCCCCACCAAGTTCTCCCCCGAGGAAGTGGCCAAAGCCACCGTGATCGCCCTGCGCCGCACTGTGCCTCCAGCCGTCCCAGGTCAGTGGCTCCGGGGGGAGGGAGGGGAAGAACATCTGTGTCTGATCGCTCTGTGGGGAACAAGTGGGGGGGTGGGGGAGCAAGCTTTGGGGGGAGCAAGCTGTCATGAAAGAGAGGGTTAAAGCTTATATAAATAATATATACACACATACATATATGTATATATACACACACACACACACAGGGTGACCAAAATGTCATGATAACTAGACTATTATCCAAATATATATACATATATCATCATTTCTTTAAGTCTGATTAGACATTGTAATGACTTTTTGGTCACCCTGTATATAATCAATTGGCAGATCACTTTCCAGGGGTAATAATACCTGCCGAATAATGAAAAAAGATTAGGTCACTCAATCCATGACTTTGTGGGACGCTGCTGTGCGGGATTGGCTTCCGCGTTTCACCCATAAAAGACACAGTCACTCCACTTTACGATGTGTCCTGTGAGGCGCTTGAAACGTCACACACGCACAACGACGTGATAAGGCACTATGTCAAATGCAAGGATTATTATTATTATGCTCTGTGCAGGCATCACTTTCCTGTCGGGGGGGCAGAGTGAAGAGGAAGCTTCTCTCAACCTGAACGCCATCAACAAACTGCAGATCCCCAAGCCCTGGGCCCTCACCTTCTCCTTCGGCCGTGCCTTGCAGGCCTCAGCCCTGAGCGCTTGGCAAGGGCAGGCCTCCAACGTGGATATGGCCATGGATGAGTTCCTCAAGAGAGCTGAGGTAAGGCCCCACGGGGAGTCCTGTAGCTCAGTGGTTAGAGCACTCGCCTCGCAAGTGAGAGGACCTGGGTTTGATTTCTGGGCAGAGCGAAATGTTAGACAAGTCTCGTTACTCCACACAGATACACCTCTGTATATCGAACAGTAAGTAGGAACCCAGTTGTTAGTCGATTGGCGGATCGCTTTTCTGGGGATAATAATCCTGTCAAAATTTTAAAACAATATATCAATAATTGGGTCACTCAATCCACAACTGTTTGTGGGACACTGCTGTGCGCAATTGGCTGAATACAGTCAATTCACTTGACAGTATATTCTGTGAAGCTCTTTGAGACGTCTCAACGACGTGATAAGGCGCTGTATCAAATGCAAGGATTATTATTTATTTATTATAGAGGGACCGAAGGTTGTTGAGTGTGAGGTTTCTCTCTGTGTGTGTGTGTGTGTGTGTGTGTGTGTGTGTGTGTGTGTGTTTGCGCGAGGCTCAGTGATGTGTGTGTGCTTCGTTGTGTGTGCAGATAAACAGCATGGCCGCTCTGGGACAGTACGAGGCCTGTGAGGAAGAAGAGGATGAAGACACGGGCACTGCCGGGGAATCGCTGTACGTAGAAGACCACGCTTACTGAGGAGCCTGACAGCCGGCCGGCCGGCCAGCAAACCCAAATTTAAAAAAAATAAAAACAAACAAAAAAAAAAAAACCCCAAAACAGGCAGAATCTCCTCATTGCAGCCTCCACTGGCACCACAGCTCTGCTACCTTGTAATCCGTGTGATGTGCTGTGACGGCCTATATCATCCGCTGTGAAGCCAGTCAGTCGGTCGGTCACTCGCCAGCACTAAATGGCGACACCTCCTCCCACTTACGTGCTCTGTTGTGTTCGGGTATAAAGTAGCAGCACTCTGCAGTACAGTGACCTGTGGTCAGTAAACCTGTGATGTCCACCCTGCTGGGTTTACTCTAACCCAAGGAGTATTACCGACCACACCACAGCGCTGTGTTTTTGTGGCTTAATCCTCTTTATGTGCCTCATCTCCCAACCTCTTCCCTCCCCTATTCCCCCACTCCCCGCTCCCCCCACCCCCTCACCAGCACCCCCACCATCACTCCGTGCCCCCACCCTCGCCTCTGTGTGTCTGAGGCTCCAGAACTGAGCCCCTTCAGCGCATTCGTAAAGTGGAGCTTATCTGCCCTTTGCCACACCAACCCCCCTCACCACGTGACTGTGTTGTAGCTTCTAAAGGGAGTGAATGGCGGGGTGGGGGGTAAGGTTGGTTGTAGGCGTAGGGGAGGGTTGGTTGGTGGTGGGGGGGGTAATTGTGCACACATGTTAGAAATTACATGGGAGAAGGGGTCTGCAGTTGTTGCGTACATGCAAACATGTGGCGGGATTGGCATGAGCATGTGTCAGGAACATGTGCTCTCTTTTTCTCTCTCTCTCTCTCTCTCTTCCCCCCCCCCCCCCCCTTCCCACCACCCCCAGAAACAGGATTGCACTAGATTTGTATATTTTTGTCTTTACCAAAGGACATGATCAGCGGAGAGCAATCGAGTGTCTTGTGTAACAGTATTTTTGTGATGATCGTGTCCTGTACTCACTCCACACTCGCTGGGCAATAGTAGCAATAAACAACAATCACAACACAACCAATCTTGTGTGCTGCTCTCCCTCACTCTCTCTCGGATGTTATTGATTACTTCATTGATTACTTATTCAGGCTGGTCCTAGCTTTTGGCTGCCGCGGGCTGGATGCCCTCATTTGAGAAATGTGCTTGCGTTTCGCCCACAAAATACACAGTCACTCCTCTTTACAGTATATTCTGTGAAGCGCTTTGAGACCTGATGAGGCGCTTTATCAAATGCAAGGATTGTTATCATTATTAAACATCCACGGGCTGCAGAAGCAATATTTATGCCTTTCCCTTCAAGACACAACATTTGCACAGCTCCTTTTTCACGTGGTTAGGACGTCTCAAAAGCACTCGACGCTGCTGGCTGGACACCTGAGCTGAGATGGCGGGAGCCGAGGGAGGTGGGATGGAGAGAGGAAAAGATGACCGAAAGCGTGGTCAAAGGGTTAGGTCTTGATGGGCCTTGAACGAGGAGAAGGAGGGAGCGAGTTGAGGGACTCCATGAATAGAGCTCCAGACAACGGGGGGAAATGGCGATGGGGTTGGGTGGGGACAAATGGGGCGGGGGGGTTATGAAGCAAGCTGTTGTTTGCTGGGTATAGAGAAGGTGGAGTCGGGAGGTCGCAGAAGTAGGGTGGGGACACTCTCTTGGGAGTCCTGGCCAACAATCCCCCAGATAAAAGTAGCCGCACTTTGCAGTACAATGACCTGCGATCAGCAAACCTGTGATGTCAAGGCAGGACATTGCTGTGTGCAAATTGGCTGCTGCATTCACTTACGTTCAAGCAGACACACAGTCATCGAAGAAACACAGTTTTGTCCACAAAACACACAGTCACAGTATATCCTCTGAAGCACTTTGAAACGTCTCGAAGATGTAATAAGGTGTTATGTCAAATGCAACGATTATTATTATTATTATTATCCGCTCCTTCAGCGACTGCCAGTATCAGCCATTGCGATGAGTTCCATTGTTTTTATATGATTGTGTCCCTGGATTTGGTTTACAATCTATGGTCACCCTATTCATGGAGTTTTTATTTGTCTCTATAGGGTTTAGATGTCCCTGTAGGGTTTCTATATTACTTCCAAAAGTATTCAATCTGTCCCAGTGGGGGTTTATATAAATATATATATACAGTCAATTCACTTCACAGTGTATCCTGTGAAGTGCTTTGCGACATAATTATTATGATAGAATTTATAAGTTTCTATATGGGTTCTATAGGGTTTCTATATGTTCCTATGGGGTTTCTATATGTCTCTGGGGTTCCTATATGATTCTATAGGATCTCTATGTGTCTCCACAGAGTGAGCCCCGCCCCCGGTCCCGCCCTCACTGCGCTCTCATTGGCTGCTGTCGCTGTCAGTCCAGAGCACTTCCGGCATCTGAGCCCACTTCCGGCGTGTCAGGCCCTCATCCTCTACCGGCGGCGAGAGATGGCCCCGACCCCCCCCACCGGTCAGTGTCCCCCCCCCCCCACCCCCCACACACCCCCACCGGTCAGTGTCCCCCCCCACCCCCCCAACCCCCCCCCACCGGTCAGTGTCCCACCCCCCAACCCCCCCCACCGGTCAGTGTCCCCCCCCCACCCCCCCAACCCCCCCCACCGGTCAGTGTCCCACCCCCCAACCCCCCCCACCGGTCAGTGTCCCCCCCCACCCCCCCAACCGGTCAGTGTCCCCCCACCCCCCAACCCCCCCCCACCGGTCAGTGTCCCACCCCCCCAACCCCCCCCCACCGGTCAGTGTCCCCCCCCCCCCCCCAACCCCCCCCCACCGGTCAGTGTCCCACCCCCCAACCCCCCCACCGGTCAGTGTCCCCCCCCACCCCCCCAACCGGTCAGTGTCCCCCCCACCCCCCAACCCCCCCCACCGGTCAGTGTCCCCCCCCCCCCCCACCGGTCAGTGTCCCCCCCACCGGTCAGTGTCCCCCCCACCCCCCAACACCCCCCACCGGTCAGTGTCCCCCCCCCACCCCCCCAACCGGTCAGTGTCCCCCCCACCGGTCAGTGTCCCCCCCACCCCCCCACCGGTCAGTGTCCCCCCCCCCCCCACACCCTCCACCCCACACCCCCACCGGTCAGTGTCCCCCCCCCACACCCTCCACCCCACACCCCCACCGATCAGTGTCCCCCCCCCAGCCCCCCCACCCCCCCCCCCACCCGTCAGTGTCCCCCACACCCCCCCCCCACCCCCACCGGTCAGTGTCCCCCCCAACCCCCCCACCGGTCAGTGTCCCCCCCACCCCCCCACCGATCAGTGTCCCCCCCACCCCACCCCCCCACCGGTCAGTGTCCCCCCCACCCCCCCACCTCCCCCCCCCCACCGGTCAGTGTCAGTTCCCGCTCCTCTGAAGACACACAAACACACACACACACCGCCTGACAATGCCCCCCCGCCCCCCCCCCCCCGGCACTGTATTGCAGTGTCAGCTCTCAGACGATATGGTTTCATGTCCTGATGTGGGGTTTGAACCCACAACCTTCTGACTCAGAGGCCAGAGACTGCGTCTGCCCCACACACTCAGTTAGGGCTGTTAGGGTAGAGGGGGGGGGGACAGCGTTGCCCCTCTGCCCTGTGGCTTTCCTCTCGGTCGCTGTGACCGACCGACTGACCGGCGTTGGCCGCCTTTGTGTCTCTCAGAGCAGCTGCGGGGCCAGTACGCTGCGGGCTGCATCTCGGTGCTGGTGCTGGTCTTCGGGATACCGCTATGGTGGAGGACGACGGAGACGTACCGCGCCACGCTGCCGTACTCCCGGATCAGCACGCTCGACCTGCTCCTGGTGAGACCGGAGGCCGGGGGTGGCTGTCACTGTGGCTGCCATGGATACGGGGGGGGGGTGGGGGTGGGGTGGGGTGGTGGGTGGGAGGGGGAGAGGTGACAGCTAGGGGGAGGGGGGAGAGAATGCTAGGGGGTGGGGGGGAGAGAGAATGCTAGGGGGTGGGGGAGGGGGGAGAGAATGCTAGGGGGAGGGGGGGGAGAGAATGCTAGGGGGTGGGGGGGGAGAGAATGCTAGGGGGAGGTGGGGGGAGAGAATGCTAGGGGGAGGGGGGGAGAGAATGCTAGGGGGAGGGGGGGGAGAGAATGCTAGGGGGAGGTGGGGGGAGAGAATGCTAGGGGGAGGTGGGGGGAGAGAATGCTAGGGGGTGGGGGGGGGAGAGAATGCTAGGGGGAGGTGGGGGGAGAGAATGCTAGGGGGAGGTGGTGGGAGAGAATGCTAGGGGGAGGGGGGGGGAGAGAATGCTAGGGGGAGGTGGTGGGAGAGAATGCTAGGGGGAGGTGGTGGGAGAGAATGCTAGGGGGAAGGGGGGGAGAGAATGCTAGGGGGAGGGGGGGGAGAGAATGCTAGATTGATGCAAATAACAACTTGTATATATATAGATATATATATAGATATATCTATACAGCGTCCCTACATATAGCGTTCCAGAGTGGTTGAGGACTGGTACAGGCAGCAGAGCAGAGTTGGAGGAGGCCGTAGAGGTGGGTGGTCCGAGACCCCGAAGGAGTTTGAAGCTCAGGTTGAGGATGAGCTGAGGGGAAGCAGAGTGTTGGTCGATGACCCTTGAGGTCCAGGCGCAGGTTGGCGAGTGATTGGTGCTGACGGTGCAGTAACGCTGGTCTCCCCGCGGCAGCTGGACATGAGCGTGCCGGTGCAGGTGGTCTTCACAAAGGGGACGCTGACACCGGAGCAACACAGGAAGCTGCTGCCACAGACGCTCTTCAGCCAGAGAGAGAAACAGCTGACACGTGAGTAACACACGTGGCGTGTGGATTCCAGCAGATTCTTAAGCTCTGCGTCCGCGCTGTGTACCTGACCCTCTTCCGCCCCCCCACACCACCCACACCACCCACCCCAACCACCCCAGAATGGCCCCCGCGGATTGTGAATCTCTAGAAACGCAAACCTCTATGTCCCTGTGCCCCCCACCTGTCCCTCGTGTTGTGTTTAATCATTCCCTTTCCTCTCCCTCCCTCTCTCCCTCCCTCCCCCTCTCTCTCTCACACACGCACAGATAAAACGGGGTTCAAGTACAGGTTCGAGGAGATGTTGAGAGCCGTCACTGTTACAGAGCAGGAAGCCATCGACAGCCAAACTGTGGAAGGTACAGAGTGACTGACTCCTGTCCTGAGAGTAAATGCTCTACTGCCCGCCCCACTCTGAGGCAGGGAGAGATGTGGGGGGGCGCGGGAGTGGGGAGCTCCTGGAGCGAGAGAAAGGTGCAACGAGGGTGTGGATGTTTGTGAGAGATGGGGTATCTCTCTAAGGGGGAGGGGGCCGTGGCTGTTGCTGTGGGGAGGGGTGGGGATCTCTCCGGGAGGGGTGGGCACTCTCGGGGAGATGGGTTGATGGCTTGGAGGGAAGGGCTCTGGGGGGAAGTGGGGGTGGGGATGGGGGGCATTGGTGGCTCTGCCCCTCTCTAATTCTGGTCGTTTTCAGAGGCGGGAGCAGCACTGGAGCGACTCTCTCCCGGCGTTCCGGGCTCGGTGACGGTCTACGTGATCCCCAAGGATTCCCAGCTGCTGCCGGCGGAAGCGACGGTGCACGTGGGGAAGCACCGGGCGGCGTTCCTGCGCTCCCCCCTCACCCGCTCCCACCTGCCCGAGGAGGCGCTGCGCGACGTGGGGTCCGCCGTGCGGCAGGTTCTCGGGACCATGTCCTTCACCGAGGACTCGGTGATGGCGGCTTTGTCGGATCGCGTCCCCCCGGGGACCTTCAGCTCTGAGACCCTGACCGACAGTATGAGGGCTCTGAAATCCAGCCTGGGTGAGACTTCCGCTTGTCACTGTTCCTGTTTGTGCGAGGGGGGGCGGGGGTCGATGCTGCGGGCAATTGGCTGCCAGGTTTCACCCACAAATTACACAGTCACTGCACTTGGCAGCGTATCCCGCGAAGCGCTCTGAGACGTCTCGAAGACGTGATAAGACGCTGCGTCGATTGCAAGGATTATATTGTTGCTGTTACTTCAGGTTAGGGTACGTCTCTGACTCATATGTGAATCATAGTGACCTGGGAGAGACACTGTGTGTGTTTGAATGTATTTGTGTGTGTATTTGGGGGAGGGGGGGAGAAAGCTGGGGAATCGTTCCCCACCTCCGCCTGCAAGCAAAGGGGAGGAATAAAGTTAGAGGAGGAAAGTGTTGAATTAAAAAAAAAACCCTTGCGGGGTTTTCAGCCTTGTTCCGTTCCTCCCCACAGGATATGAGATCACCTTCAGTTTACTGAACCCTGATCCCAGGTCTCACCACATTTGCTGGGACATCGAGCGAGGCCTGAGGGACTACGTGCAGCCCTTCCTGGACAAGCTCGCCTTCGTCGCCAATTTCTCCGTCAGCTCCCAGGTAAGGAACACCCCGCACTCCTCTTCCTCCTCCTCACTAGACCAGGAGCTGCCCAGATCAGCAAACACAACGTGGCTTCCTTGTAGGATGGTCTTGATCATCGAGTGGGCTTTAATGCTGCACCTTAACAACTCTTTCTCCCTCTGTGTCTGTGTGTGTGTCTCTCTCTCTTTCCACCCCCTCCCTGTGTCTCTGTCTCTCTCTTACACTCCCTCCTCTAGCTGTGTCTCTGTCTCCTTCACTCCTCCCTCCCTGTGGCTCTCACTTTCACTCCTCTGTGTGTGTGTGTGTGTGTGTGGCTCTCTCTCTCACTCACCCCCCCCCAATCCCTATCTGTGTACATCTCTCTCTCTCTCATTCCTCTCTTCTCTGTGTCTCCTCACAGGTGCTGTACTATGTTGTTCTGGGAGTTACTCCCCGCTATGACAAGGCATCTTCCAGCTTCACCCTCACGGAGGACAGTCTGCCCCATGTCATCAACCCGGTGGAGGCCAAACTCGGTGAGGCATCCTCCCTTCCCCCGCCCCCAAACACTGAGTCTTGTGTGTGTCTGACTGACAAATGAATATCTTTTGACATTTATTGATTCTTATTATCCCTCACGCTGCCTTTTAACTGAGTTTATCCTCTGTGGGGCGGTATCCGATGTTGAACCGAGGTCTCATCTTCTTGTTCAGGTGGACGTTAAAGATCCTGTGGCGCTATCGGAAAAGAGAAGGGAGTTTTTCTCTCTCTCTTTCTCTCTCTCCCGATGTCCTGGCCGAGAATCACCCCCAAAATAATAGTGGTCACTCACTCCATGGCTCCTTGTGGGACATTGCTGCGTGCAATTGTGCCGCTGTCTTTTCCGACAGATACACAGTCGCTGCACTTTACATTGTATCCTGCGAAGCGCTTTGAGACGTCCTTCTGACGTGATAAGACGTCATATATATCAAGTGCAAGGATTATTATTATTATAAACCAACTACAGCCACGTGGTGGTGCTGCTCACCACAAGGTGAGCTATCTCACTTGCAATCTTTCCTCTTTCAAATCTGTTGTCCCCGCTCTCCTGAAAAAGCCCACCCTCAACTGTATTTTCTCCGAGCGCCCCCTTCTCTACTCCCTTCCTCTCCCCCGGCGCCTGCCGCCTGCGTTCTGCTGACCCATGGCTTTTGGAGGCCGGATCGGAGGGGCGTGGGGGGGTGAGCGAGGAGCCAGAAGCGGACTCATTCTCAGCAGCTTTGCTCGGGCAAGGCATTTAGCAGCAGCAGGACTGAATGCGGCGAGTCTTGTGTGCGGAATAAACCGACCTTTGTCACAAGGGGCTGTGTACAGCGCCTTTGTCTGGGTCTCGCGTTCGCTAGACGTGTGCCAAGCATTTTAATTCTACTTTAAACCAAGAGTTCTCTGTCTGTCTGTGAGCTCTGCCTAATCTCAGACTAAATTTGAATGCACTCGCTGTTTGTTGGAGTTGCTATAGCGCCCCCTCCTCCCATTCCCACCCACGGCCTGGACTGCAAATAGCTGAATTCTGAGTCTGAAGGTTGTGGGTTCAAGCCCCACTTTGGGACATTGAACTTTCAAAACTAGCCTGACCCAATGATTTTCTCGGAATAATAAAAATAATCCTTGCACTTGATACAGCGCCTTATCACGTCATTGAGATGCCCCAAAGCACTTCACGGAATATACTACAAAGTGAATTGACTGTATTTTGTGGGCGAAACACGACAGCCAATTGCGCACAGCAGTGTCCCCACAAACAGTCGTGGGTTGAGTCACCAAATTATTTTTTTAAGTGATTATTTATTACTCCCAGAAAGGCAATCCACCAATTGACTAACAACCGGGTTCCTACTTACTGCTTGTAAACAGAGGCCTGTGGAGTAAGGAAACTTGCCTAAGCCATGAACGCACCTCCTACAATACAGCCGTCCCCCAGCACTGCACTGGAGTGTCAGCCTGGACTGTGAGCTCAAGTCACACAGCCTGTGACCCCCAGGAGAGTGTGTTGGCAGCTGAGGGGTTTAATGCTCCTTCTTTTCCTCCCCAGGCTCCAGTGTTACCTCGTCGTATCCAGTTCTAAACTTCCTTCTCTACGTGCCTGAATACTCTCACTCTCCTCTCTACATCCGGGACAGCCGTGGGGAGCCTGTCGAGACCAACGCGTTCCACAGCTCCCGATGGGGAGGCATCATGGTGTGTGATGGTGGTTTGTGCCGAGTGCCTGAGCTGTACCAACCCGCCCGCTCCCTCCACTCAGTGGGCTCCGGCCTGCTCCGTGCCCCCGGCCTTCCCTGCCCGCCTACCATCAGCGATCGGGCCTTCAGTTTTTATGTCCCACCCTTTGGAACTCCATCCCTTTCGCCTCCCTCCCCTCCCCTTCTCCAAGGCCCGTCTTAAGACCTTTCTCTTCGATTCCACCCCCGTTCGGAGACTCTCCTACCCCCACCCACCTTGCCCTCCACCCCCCCGTTGATCCCCAGCTCGGGTCCAAATCCAGCGTCGTAAGGAAGTCCTCCCGATGCAAAAGGCGCTGTGTTGTTGTTGTTGTTGTTGTTGCCACTGCCCCACAAACAGCCAGGAAATGAATGACCCCAAGTTTATTTGGGGAGGGATTGTTGGCCAGGGATACCGGGAGAGAGAAACTCCCTTCTCCGTTCAAATAGTGGCACGGGACCTTTTTTACACCCACGTGAACAGACGGACGGGGCCGAGGTTTAACGTCTCATCCGCAGCGCGGCACCTCCGGCAAATGCTATTACCCGCGTTGTTGTTGAGGGCTGTGAAATGCAGGCCGAGAGGGAGAGACCAGCTACCGCAGCCCACGCTGAGCACTGGCTTGTCGGGTTCAGAGCCTCACTCGACAAACTCCCTGACCCTGCAGTGTGTCGTTGCTCGTCTCTTGTCAACAGCATCCAAACAGCAAGGTCTCCTGGTGACTGTTTCCACAGCAACCCTGCGATTCTTTCTCTCTGCCCTGCAGCACAGGACTTGGCACCAGGTTCATGTGCTGGTTTTTGGGGCGGAGGGTGTGTTGTGCCTGTCCTCGGTGTGTGCCCCTCCTACATACAAACACCCTCTTCCCTCCCTCCATCCCGCCTGACCGCGAGCCCCAACCCTTAGCCGCCCAGCACTTTGGGACGTCCTCCCTCCCCCCTCCCGTGAAAGGCGAGGCGTAAATGTAATTTTGTGATCTTGTGTTGTCTCAGGTTTACAATGTGGGTGAGAAGCCGCAGAACGAGACGGTGCTGCCGGTTACGGCTGACGTGGACATGGAGCGGGTGATGGAGGTTTTCCTGGCTCAGCTCCGGTAAAGAGGCCATCGGTCAGAAACAGCTGCGGGGCTCGGTGTGTATGTGTGTGGGGGGGGTGGGGAGAGGGCGCAGGGATGGGTGGGGGAGCTGTGGGCTACCACGGGGTTGCTGACTGGGTGTCTGATGCTGTGGTTCCCCACCCCCACCCCAGCTTGCTGCTGGGGTTACAGACGCTGCTCCCTCCCCCGGGGTTCACCCTCGAGAGCCCCGGTAACTCCGCTCTGACCGACTGGGAGCTGGACCGGCTGCTGTGGATGAGGACGGTGGAGAACATCGCCACAGCCACCAACACCCTGACCTCCCTCGCTCAGCTCCTGGATGAGATCGGCAACATAGTCATCAACGACCACATCGCCGCTCAGGTGGGTCCCCGGCCTCTCCTGGGCTCCACAACCCCAACTGGGGTGGGGGAGAGAGGGGCGAGGGGGAAGTGCTCAGTGCGTTGGGGTGGGGTGAAAATGGGCTTGGTTTGTGTGCGGTGGGAGCGGGGGGCTTGGGAGTGTGCGTGTGTGTATGTGTGTGCACAGAGCTTGCTGTGTGCGTTTGTGGGGTGGGGGCTTGGGGTGTGTGTGCGTGGGGGTGTTGGGGAGACTTGGTGTGTGTATAGGTTGGAGGGGGGGGCAGTGATGGGGGCTCAGTGGGACGGGGGGAATCTGTGTGCCTGTGGTTGCCACACCCTGATACCCGACTCTCTCTCTCTCTGGTAGGTGTACCGGGCGGTGGACTGTGTGGAGGAGTCTCTTCGGGAGCTGGAGGCGGGGAGGTTGGCACCCGCGTTCCAGGCCAGTAAAGAGGCCGTCATGTCCTCGGAGACGGCCTTCTTCGACCCCTCGCTCCTCCACCTCCTGTATTTCCCCGACGACCAGAAGTTTGCCATCTACATCCCACTCTTCCTGCCCATGGGAGTTCCCATCCTCCTCTCGCTGCTCAAGATCAGCAAGAAGCTCAAACAGAGGGACAAGAAGGAGTAACCTTGAGGGTGGGGCTTGGGGGAGGGATTGACCACAGACTGGGGGAGAGGTGGTGGGGAGAGAAGGGGAGATGGGAGACATACACTGAAGACAAGAAGCATCTCAAGTCCAGGTTTGCCGGAGCCCGAGGCGCACAGATTTTTTTTTTGGTATTTTTCTATTTTTCGGTTCCATTAATTTATTGTGTTTTTCCTACGGTTGCTTCTCTCAGGAACCAAGTGAGCTTCTCTCTGAGGCGTCCCGAAAGACGTGATAAGGCGCCGTGTCAAATTCAAGGATTACTATTATTATTTGTTTGCAAAGCAATAAAATGCGAAACACTTATCTTCATTCTGAGACTTTTATGTCACTCTCAGCTCGCTGACCCCCTCCCCCCCCGCCCCCCACCACCCCCATGCCCCATGTGTATGTGTCTGTTACGCTCTCTGCCCTGTGTGGGCTATTTCAGGACTGACACCAGGAAGTTTTTTTCTTTACTCAGAGGGTAATTAAGTGTGTGTGTGTGTGTGCGCTTGAGACCAGTTATCACCCTCGTGTTTGAGTGCACATTCCAACAATCTATCTCTGGAATTTCCATGTGTAGGTGGGATGCATGGAATTCTCAGCTCGGTTTGGATACTCCTACCAGGAACAAAATAACAACAAAATGACATTTATAGAGCGCCTTTCACGTCGGGAGGACATCCCAAAGCGCTGAACAGTCAGGTGTCGGGGCCCGAGCATGGGGGAAGGATGGTGTAGGGGTGAGGGAAGGCAGAGAGGGGGGAGGGAGACCAACGGCACGGTCAAAGAGATGGATCTTAAGACCGGCCTTGAAGGAGGCGAGGGAGGACGCGAGGCGAAGGGACCGTGGGATGGAATTCCAGAGTGTGGGGGCAGAGAGGCTGAAAGCCCGGCCACCGATGGTAGGGCGGGTCGGGCGGGAGACATGGAGCAGGCTGGAGCCCGCTGACCGGAGCAACGGTGATGGGTTTCCACACGTGTTAAGACACTCGACTGACCCGTGCGTGTGTGTGTGATCAACTTTCTCCCCTGTGTGTGTGTGTATGTATGTATGTGTGTGTTCACTAACTTCGCTGTTTGTGTGTGTGTTCACTACCTCTCTCCCCTGTATGGGTGTCATCACCAGCTCCTTCCTCACTCTGTGTAATTTTCTTTCTCCCTCCTTTGCTGTCACCCTCTCTCTCTCCTTACCCCTCTCTCTGCACAGGTCTGAAGCAGACTGGTTAATTAAGTGGCCACTTTTTCCCCAGTAAATGCTATGTTCCCATTGTAACCACTGCTGTGTATGACTGTGTTTTATCAACTGTTTATCAGTGAATTCCTGCTACAGAATAAATGAAATTGCAGGGTCTGAGCACAGTAATTAAGCTAATGACTAAGTACATTAATAACCATTCAACGTCTGTCTTCGCTTTGGTTTAGCTCAGTGTGAAGAACGAGGACAAATCGAGGGGTCTTTGTAGCTAAAGGTTTGAGAAGAGTTACAGGCAGGAGTATTTGGTTTCCTCCAACTATTTCTGATCAGTTTATCCCATTGGTTCTTTAATATTTTGCTGTTTGGGGACTGGATCTGTGTCCTACTTGTGTTTTTCTGATTGACCTGATATGATATTCTGCGGCATCTCCTTTTTCTGTTCCTCAGTATTTCAACCTTTCAAACCCGGGGCTCGTCAGTATGGGGCACTCGGCGTCCTGCCAAGAGGTGAGCAACTGGGGCACCTGACTACAGCCAACAGGGGATGAAGGTGGCCCGAGAGCGAGGGCTGGATTTACAGGGCAGCCATCGCTGTGTCCTTCACAGGCTCCACGCTCCTCCTGTTGGGTTGTTTCGGGGCTGGGGGGGGGGGGGGAGTGCTTGGTGAAGGGAAAAAGGGTGTCCGGTGAGGTGGGGGGAGGGCGGGGAGGGGGGTGGTGGTGGTGGGGGGGTGCTCAGTGATGAGGGTGGGTGGGGGGCGGTTAGAGATTCCTCGATCAACCGGGACCTCTCTATACTCTATCGAAGCCCATCAGGTCTTGAGCTGAACTGACTCCAAGGTGACATGTTCCTTAGTTCAGCTCAACTACGAGGAGCCTCCACTTACCCCCACAACCCCCCCCCCCCCTCCTGATAGTGGGGTGGGAGGTGGTTGGGTCAGTGTGAAGGGGGGGGGGGTGATGGGATGGGGGGGTGGTCAGTGTGAAGGGGGGTGATGGTGTGTGTTGTGGAGGCGGTGGTCAATGTGTGTGTGGGGGGTGGGGGGAGAGTGTGTGTATAAGGGGGATGTGTGTGTGGGGGGTGCAGTGTGTGTGGGTGTGTGTGTGGGGGGTACAGGTGCAGTGTGTGTGGGGAGGGGGGTGCAGTGTGTGTGGGAGGAGAGGTGCAGTGTGTGTGTGGGGGGGGGTGCAGGTGCAGTGTGTGTGTGTGGGGGGGGGTACAGGTGCAGTGTGTGTGTGGGGGGGGGAGTGTGTGTGTGTGTGTGGGAGGGGTGCAGTGTGTGTGTGTGGGGGGGGTACAGGTGCAGTGTGTGTGTGTGGGGGGGGAGTGTGTGTGTGTGTGTGGGGGGGTACAGGTGCAGTGTGTGTGTGGGGGGAGAGTGTGTGTGTGGGGGGGGTTTCTACCTCACCCCAACCTGGCGGATCAGGGCTGCACCATCGGCCGCCTCGGGAGGGAGGGTTCGGGCAGCGAAGCATTGCCGGAGCCGCTGTGTGCGAATGAGGGGTGTGGGGGTAAAGCCAGTGCGGTTGTGGGGTCAGAGGGGGAGAAGATTTATGAATGGGACGCGGGGGTGAGAGAGCGGAGCCCTCTGTGGGTGTGGGGGGGGATGTGGGGGTGATGGTGATGAGCGGCTCCTCCCCCCCCCCCCCCCCCCGCGGGCGGATGGAGCGGGCGGTTGACTGGATACATTGTAACGGTTTGTATGTATCACTCGCTCAGGTGAGACCCACCGCCCCCACCTCACAGCCCCCCCCACCTCACAGCCCCCCGTCACAGCACAGCCCACCTTACCCCCCCCACCCCAGCCCACCTTACCCCCCATTCCAGCCCACCTTACCCCCCCAGCCCACCTTACCCCCCCCCCAGCCCACCTTACCCCCCAGCCACCTTACCCCCCCAGCCCACCTTACCCCCCCAGCCCACCTTACCCCCCCCAGCCCACCTTACCCCCCCAGCCCACCTTACCCCCCCAGCCCACCTTACCCCCCCAGCCCACCTTACCCCCCCCAGCCCACCTTACCCCCCCAGCCCACCTTACCCCCCCAGCCCACCTTACCCCCACCCCAGCCCACCTTACCCCCCACCCCAGCCCACCTTACCCAGCCCAGACCAGCCCGGCACACATCACCCCCCAGCCCGGCCCCACCTGAGCCCTGCCCAGCGCACACACACCACCCCGAGCCAGTGCAGCCCCCCATCACCCCAGCACAGACAGCCCTGCTCAGCACGGCTTAGAGAGCCCCAGTCCTGCCCCCAGCAGACATCAGCCCAGCACAGCCCAGCACAACACTCAGCATAGCACCCAGCACAGCACAGCACACCCCAGCACAGCACAACACCCAACACAGCTCAGCACAGCCCAGCACAGCACAACACCCAGCAGCTCAGCCCAGCGCAACACCCAACACAGCTCAGCACACCCCAGCACAGCACACCCCAGCCCAGCACAACACCCAGCACAGCCCAGCACAACACCCAGCAGCTCAGCACAGCCCAGCACAACACCCAGCCCAGCACAGCCCAACAGCCCAGCACAACACCCAGCAGCTCAGCACAGCCCAGCACAACACCCAGCCCAGCCCAGCAGCCCAGCGCAACACCCAGCACAGCTCAGCACACCCCAGCACAGCTCAGCACAGCCCAGCACAACACCCAGCAGCCCAGCCCAGCCCAGCCCGGCCACAGTGGAGGAGGGAGAGGGAGGGGGAGGAGGAGGGAGTCGGGTTTGCACGCACTAAGCCGCTCGGGAGGAGGATTGCTCTGGGCTCCGGGCGGGCGGTGGGGAGAGGGAGGGAGAGAGATGAGCTTTTCTGGCACTAAAGCCCTGAGCAGCAGCAGCGGCGGCGGCGGCGGCGGTAGTAGTAGTAGTAAGAAACAGGAGACGGTCGGTATGAAGGTGAAAAAGAGCTCGTCGGAGGGTCTGTCTGTCACCAGTGAGGAGGAGCTGCTCAAGAAGGAGAGCGTCTCGCCCGAGGATGTGCTGGGACTGCAGAAGATCACCCAGAGTGAGTACCCCCCCCACCCCCCACCCCCCCAGGGCTCAGGGAGAGCCTGGCAAGGCTGGCAAGGCTGGCACAGAGGGAGAGAGAGGGGGGGCAAGGGGTGGGGGGGTGGGTGATGTGCTGAGCAGGACTGTGCTGGGGTTGGGCTGGTGAGGTGTGTTGGTTGGGCTGGGGATGTGGGCAGAGTGAGCCAGGACTGGGGTATGTGGTGTGTGTGTGTTTGGGTGGGGGTGGGGGGTGGGGGTGGGTGGGATGGGGCAATGTGACCCGGGGGCAGGGGTTTGGGGGAGGCGGGGGAAGCCGCCGACCCCAGCCTCAGCCGGGCGTTCACTTCCATCAAGACCAGCAGCTTCTTTCTTAAGTCAAGGGACCTGTCAGCTCCTGTCTGACCCCCCCCCACCCCCACCACCACCCTCGCCACCCTCGCCACCCTCGCCACCCTCTCTCTCACCCTCTTGCGGGCATCTGTGTGTGTGTGTGTGTGTGTGTGTGTCAGTCAGGGCAGAGCACTGGCACTGATAATAATGCCTAATGATCCTTGTGTTCGACGCAGCGACGCATCACGTCTTCGAGACGTCTCAAAGCGCTTCGCGGGACGACAGACGCACTGTTTTTTTAAGAAAGATGTTTAATCAGCACACAGTTACACCGGAGACCGACAGGCCTCAGTGTTTGCATTGAATGCTTTGCGGTGATTCCTTACCCCCCCCCACTCCCACCCCCACCCCCCCCCACCACACACATACACACGCACACATACTACCCACCCCCACCCCCGGCCCCAAATCTCCTTTTCAACTGCCAGCGACCAGCCTCAGAAGCGTGATGTCACCCGAGTCAATTTTTCAAACCGTTTCTCTATTAAAAAAAAAAATTTGAAACGGAGGATTCCGCCCGCACATCCTTCACCTTTTGCCGCCCCCCGGGGAATATCGGCAGGGCCCAGGGGACCACAGCTGTTGTGGGGCTGAATTTAGCTTGGTGGGTATTTTACCTTCGACGGGGAGCATCAGTTACAGGCACTGCAACTGACTTGGGCGCTCTGGGTTTCACTTTATCTCTAACCCCGGAAAGGTGTTGTGTGCGCGTAGGGTTAGGGTAGGCCTGGGCTGTGGTGGTTGAGTGCCCTGCTGCCTCGGCTCACACACGTGTGAAGAACACGAGAATCGCTTACGTTTTGTCCACAAAGTATACAGTCAATTCGCTTGAGCGTATATCCTGTGAAGCGCTTTGAGATGTCGCGAAGATGTGATCAGGCGCTGTGTCAAATGCAAGGATTATTATTATTATTATTATTATTATTATTGCTGGACGAAAGAAGACCAAGGTCCATCCAGTTCACTTTCCACCATCCTGGCAGTCACGTGGCATGTCGTGTCCCAATCTATACACTATATGCCGAGATATTATTTCCTAACAGAAATCTATCCAATTTGCTTTTGAGAGCATCGACACTTTCTGCTTCCACCGTTTCCCTTGGGAACCTGCTCCATACATTTATTGCTTGTTCACCGAAGTAGTGTTTCTGCAGATTTTTTCTGTATTTGCTCCCCCTTCAACTCGCAGGCCAATATAAACAAGCAAGAGATATCAGCAGAATTTACCAGCTCCTGTGGTTGTGTTTTGCTATGGTGCCTTCTAGCAGCAGAGGAGAGGGTTGGGGGCGAAGGATAGGGATGTTTGCAAAACTGTAATCTAATTTTTGTGACCAGATAACCTCTCGAGCTTCTTGCCATCGTAAATCCATTCTTGCGATTTGTGCTTCCTGATCAGCCCGAGAGATATCTGTCGCTCTTTGGGTAACTACTGGCTGTGAGGTATGTGTTTGTCTCAGTCAGTAACACTCAGCTCTGAGGCAGGAGGCAGTGGTTTGGAACCCTACATTGCTGACTCAAGGTATGAGCGAGACTGAGCCTCGTTTACACTGTCGGAGGTGTCGTGCTCTGGATGGTAGAGGCCATTCAGCCCCTCGAGCCTGTTCCGCCCTTCTGTAAGATCAAGGCTGATCTGCCTCTCAACTCCAACTACCCGCCATGTCCCTTGATACCCTGACCTAACACATCTATCTGCCTCGGTCTTGAAAATTTGACTGGATCCAGAATCCTGTCTCACGTTGTTGTTCCCTTCCCCCATCCGATTTCCCTAAAATAGCTTAATTATTCAGTCATTAATCTGGTTGCAATGTGTGGATTAGCTGCCACGTTTGTCTACATACCAGCAGGTCCCCTGTGCTTCAGTGCGGGGCAGCCCGGCTCAAACTTGCCTCTGAGTCAGACGTTTTCTTTCGCTTTTAGTCATCAGGTGTCTGCCACGAGCGGAAACCCATCGCTGCGCTTAGATCTACATGTGTACACACGACAGTTTCTCTGTGGCATGAAATGAGCACCTTCACCCTTTCACTTCTGCATATTAGTTCCTATCCATGCAATGGAAAGGCTTCCATTCCTCCAGCCTGTTTGCCAATATCCTGCCAAGCGCTTTGAGACGTCTCGAAGAGGTGACAAGGCGCTGTATCAAACACAAAGGATCATTATTATCTATTATAATTACTGTTAAGAAGTTTTTTTTTGATGTAAAGCACCTGCGAGGTGTTTTTGATTTGACAAAGCGCTTACGGAAAAAAAAACAACTCATTGTGTGAAACGAGATGTTTTTAAATGTGACCTGGTGCAAAATCGGACGGAACTGTCCTTTTCCATTCGTTTTGTATTCATTAATAATAATAATAATATTAATAATCCTCGCATTTGATACAGCGCCTCATCACGTCTTCGAGACGTCTCAAAGGGCTTCACCGGATACACTGTAAAGTGAACCGACTGTACATTAAAATGGGAACTATTAATACTGGGACTGCAGACTGGGCCATCTGAGGCCGCTCAGGCGAGGGTTGATTTACCTGGGTTATAATCTGACCCTGGGTCAAGCAGAGTGAGCGGGCAGCCCGGTCGGTACACAGAGCAGCATCTCCCATCCCAATCCCTGCCCAGGGATCCAGGCCCGAAACTTACACCCGGTCTCTTTCACCCGTGAAACCATTCGGCCTCAAACATTTCCCGGCTATGAAAAAATGACGGACCGTCGTTCAGCCAACCCCTGTCTTAGTTCCGAAGCCGGTTTCTTTTTCAAATTGAATAAGTTCTTATTATTCGAATTATAATTTTATTATTTTTGTTACCAAAAGGAGAAAATTCATCAATTCATAAATCCCGTGTAAATTTAGATGCAGTTGATCATAATTATGTATAATCGTTATTAATAATGAATCGTTATTAATAATTATTAATAATAAACCGGCCACATCCATAAATCCTGCGTCAATTAATAATTAATAACATGGAATTTATGAATATGAAAAATGATAATTCATTCTTGGCATTTGATATAGTGCCTTGTCACATTGTTGAGACGTCTCCAAGTGCTTCACGGGATATACTGTAGAGTTGATTGACTGTGTATTTTGTGGGAGAAAAGTGACAGCCAGTTGCGCACAGCAGTGTCCCACAGGAGTTTGCTGTGAAGTACAGTGACTCTGTATTTGTAGTCGGACACACAATTTGGTTATTTTGGTGCTACGGGCTAAGACTGGTTGGAAGTCCTCCTGGGGCTGAGCGAGCTCGAACACAACCTGCCAGAGGATGGAATGTCAGAATCGAACCTGCCGACTGCTTGTCCAGCTCGGACCACTCTGGTCCGTCAGGGCTCGGGGTTGCAGGGTTAACAGGCCCTGAACGTAAGTAATTTGAAGTGTTACAGTTCATCTTGAACCTGCCCCCACTGACGAGTCTGCTGATGAGCCGGGCTGACTTGGCTGTCAGCACCAGTGCCCTGGAGTCCTGCAAACCCACTTGGCTCAGGAATCAGCTATCTCAATTCTGACACTGCGTTGCCAAACATGTCGCCTCTCAGCCCGGCTCAGCTCCGAAGAGACCCGCTCCTCTTTCCCCTGAGCGGCCAATCTGCCCACATCCATATTCCACAAACGGCCATGACGTGAATGACCAATTTTATCTGGGGGAATTGCTGGCCAAGGGGCATCGGGTGAAGTTGCTGTAATGGATGCGTGAGTCAGGCTGCCCCATTGCAGAGCACCTCACATACTTTGGACATACGTTGGAAAGCCATCCGACACTGCATATTTCAAAGTCCCGACCTGGAGCTCGAACCCACGACCTTCTTGACTTCGACGTGAGTGTGCTGCTGGAAGAGTCAAGCCGACACCGACCACAATGTGAAGTTCTGTGGTCGATAACTCCCTTCTGGTTTTTTTTTAGAACTCACAAGTTATTACACCCTTTGGGGATCAGCGAGAGTTTGGTCAAAGGATATTGAGAGCACTGTGTGAAGGGTTTTTGACGCAGTGGATGGGACGGGTTCCATGAGCGGAGTGGCTGTTGGTGCGGTCGTCAGCCTCCGAGAGAGAAACTCTGATCTCTCTCTCCCGGTGTTGCTGTTGCTGTTGTTGCTGTTGTGGATCCCTGACTGACCAGCGCCTTGGGACGTCTTCATGACGTGAAAGGCGTTATACAGATGTGATTTGTTGTTGTTATTTGTGATGCTGTTGAAGTTGTTGCTGTGTGTGTGTGTGTGTGTGTCGAGGGGCTTGTTGTCAGCCAGCGGCTGAGCTGGTGGACCTAGTGAAGGGTGTCTCAGTGGATGCCGAGATGGTGCCTGGAGGTGGTTGTGTGTGTTACACAGCTGCCGACTGCTCCGTGTGTTTATCTGTGTTGCCAAAAGCCCCATTGTCCCCTCGCAGTGTTTTCCTGCACTTTGTCGGAGTGGATATCCTGAACCAGGGAATGTGACCCTGTCCAGAACAGGGAGGGGGGGGGGGGGTGGGGTGCGTGGGGGTTGCAAGGTTAATAGGGACTGAGTGGGAAGAGTCCTTGCCCCCGGTTGGTCCAGCGATGGCCTGGGCTCTGATCAGTGTGGATCTGGGTTCGATTCCCGGGCAGGGCGAAACGTTGGGCAAGTTTCCTTACTCCACACGTCTCTGTTTACCA